TGACAGAGTCCCGTGATGTGGAGCAGCTAAATCAGTTTTTCCAGGCTTTTGCAAACATCAGCAAGCAGGTGAATGCTTAACTTTTAGATTGACACATTTTCTGCCAAACAGGCCATGTGACACTTGTCCTGGGCCAGATGAATTTTTGCAGGAGCTAATAAGGAGCCATGGTTTGACTCAAAATGGTACATTCAGGTATTCCTCCTAAAGGAATTACCAGCAACGAGACCTCGAGTCATGCCCCTGATGCACTGAAGTACAAAGATGTGTCCCCAAGCTTGCGCTCATTTCTACAATGATTTCAGACAATTAAAACGTCCCCCTGAACTCCAACATGAATCCTTTTATTTCCAGAGAAACATCACCTTCCTCAGAAATCCAGATGTACGAGACACCATGTTGAACCTGACCTTGACGGCCCTTGCTCCTGAATTTGAAGACTTTGAGCCTGAAGACTTTCAGCTGTGGTTCCAGGGCAATTTGGCTCCTGTGATGGCAAGCCTCCATCCTGGCAGCTTGGCGGTGATTCCCAGTAACATCAGCTGTGTATCCTACTCAGCTATGTAAGAGATCATCTTTCTGAAGTCCACAGTTAGACATTCTGGGGTTGCACAATGTCAAACGGTGGCTCCAGACAAGTCACAATGATTGTTTGTTCTCTTCCTTTAGACTCACCGGTCTTGAGCAAAGTTTGCAATCCCTGCCACTGGACCTTTCACAGGGTGTGAGATCAAGCAAAAAATCGCTCAAGGAGACATTTACACGTACGTGGCAAAAACGCTTTGCTGGCAAACTTTTTAGCCGATTACCACTACTGTGATGATAACTGTATTGACCCATGCCCTTATTTCATATTTCTCTCAAACAGGTTGCTCAGTTCCAGATTCCTTCATGGTAAGTTAATTTCTCTGGACCTGTGTATTACATGGATCATTCAGCATTTGATCAAAATTTACAAGACACAAGTTTGGCACGTTTACGTCATTAAGGAGGCCACGTTAAGTTATTTTGAATTTAAATAGCTTTTGCCACTAGACTAACAATCATGTTTTGCTTGTCTCCAGTGCAAGGAGACCCCGGTTGATGGTAAGTCTGTAAAATGCCAGACATTTCATCTTTGATGACAAAATCGCATTCTGAAGCTACAATATCTCACACACCAATGTTGTCTTTTCACAGAGGACCTCATCTGTGCTGCAAGTGACAGGTAGGTGAATTACTGTTTTGTCCGGTGCTGAGTTTGCGTAGGTAAAGTTCTTTTACACAATCTAACTAAGGTGACCACGGTTTTGTTTTTCTATTGTTTTCCTCAGATCACAGCTCGAACACGCCCTGTCTTCAGGCAATTACTCTGAAGCCCTGTGCAATTTTACCATCACTGAGCATGCCTGTTCCTCGGTAAGGTTGTTTTCTCTGAGCTGTGAATCCCAGAGAAAGATTTGGCTTTTGCGACATTACCATCGTGAGACAAACCTCCATGATCTCTGACAGTCTTTGCTTCATTTTCTTGTCAATTTTTTTTTCCAAGGCTGCACATCTTACACCCAGCAACTTGGCCACACTGCTGAAATGCTCACTGGAAAGCCAAAGGACATACCCGGTAGAGGTCTGGAAGCTTTTCTTCCAAAAAGCTTCCACTGACCTAGACCAGGCTCTTGCGACATTGGCCACCATGGTAAATCCAATCTCGCAATTTGGCAAAATTGGTGTTTCCCTGTGTGAATTCTGCGCCGAACCAAAATGATTTGTCCAATTCTAGGCCCCCAACAACAGCAGCCCATCCTTGTCAAATGCTCTTGAGGCCCTTGGAGAGGTGAGAATTGCCAACTTCAGCCAGGCGCAGCTGCAGAGTGATGGCTTTGTCAGCGACTGGTTCGGGACAAAGATTCGTCCGTTTTTGGCCTCTCCATCCCCCAACTTCCTGTTCTGCCTTACCACCAAGAACTTCAGCTGCCATACGTACCAGACTGTGTAAGCAAATATGCGATATATTGCTCCACTGTGAACAAGATTGCAGGGGAACCTGCAGTTTTCCAGTTGTTAAGATGTTAAAAGGCTTCTCTCAAATTTTAGCATCCAGGCATTCAGCAGCCAAAGGCCATCCATGGACAGAGAAAGACAGCAAGCAGTCTTCACTCATTTCATCAAACCATTCCTTTCAAGAAATGACTCATCAGGTAAAGGCTGGCACTCAGGCTCAATTTGGTAAAGGTCTGATAACATGTGGTGGTAATACCCCGTCACTGTCTTTGCTTGTGTCTTCTTCGCAGATCCTGGCTGTGTCTCATTGATCAGAGGTAGTAAAGAGTGGCTAGAGGGAAACTTCGGCAACTTCTCGGAATTTGCAACCCTGCAGGATTTGCAAGCCCTCAATCCCAACTTCTCCAGTGTAAGTGGTGACTGCAGTTGTAGTATTCTTCTCTCAAACTGACATGTCTCACCTATGGTTTTGCAATTACTGCTTTTTAATTTCATATTGATTCCCTCTGGTAGGCCGAAGCGTTGTCAGTGCTCACTCCTACTCAGATGGCACAGCTGACACTGAGCTCAGGTGCCGCGAATGACACAGACCAAATTGACCGTGTGTTTGAGCGACTTGAGGAGGGCAATGCTCTGGAAAATGTGGATGAATTCCTGACACAGCTGACAGCAGATGGAGAGGTAGGCTACTCTTGACACCGGGGGAAGAAGGACAATCTTGGGCTTTTAAACGAGCACACTCTGTACTTAGATATGTATCTAAACATTTACATCAGTTGTAGGGGACTCATTCATATCAAATTATTTGTTACATTCTTTCTGTCCTCCTGTATGGTGTACTTGCAACATGTAAACTTGTGTGGTATTTAAATCCTCCTGTGTTGTAATTTGACAGGTCCCTGATTTCCAACCTGCTGTGAGAGATCGCATGATGAATAGGACCTTTACCATCGTCAGTCCCCATTTCCCGAGCTTCACGGATCGCGACTGGTTTGTTTGGTTCCACCTGAAACTGGTTGCTATCCTGCCAAGTTTCAATCCAGAGATGCTCAAGAATGCAACCTCAAACATTAACTGCACAAACTACCATGTCGTGTGAGTAGCATTTAACAAACAAGCAAGATCCAGTGGACCAAAGTAGAAAACGCTGACTGTGTAAGAATGCTGTTTTTTTTCTTTTTTTTTTTTGGCTCTTTGCAGCGTGAGGGGGATGGCCAAAGCATTCCCTGCAATGAAGTCGGGTCGACGAGAAGGAATCGCAGAGGTTCTACTGGGCTACCTGAGAAAATCTGCCAGTGTCATCAACGAGCCAGGTAGGGCTGACGCAGTGAACTGCGCCACGTGGTTGCTTGTGTGGACGTGGACTTGTGAAAGAATTGGCTGAAATGGCACTGAGAGGAAAACTGGCACTTGACTTGTTCCATGTGCATCAAGGAAAAATAATGCTTGTTAAATGTTACATGTGCTAACGTCCATCTACGTGCCTTAGTTTGCAGGCAAGGAATTCAGAGTGATGCCGAATGGCTTGAAGCAAACCTCGGCCCATTTTCCCAATACACAACATACTCTGACCTCAAAGTCTTCAACCTGTCTGAAGTAAGTCATACATTTCACTTCCAATCTTCCTTGAAAACAGCAGCACAATATTCAGAACTCGGGAAGTCTACAGACAGGGGTGGTTTTGTCCTGGCAAAGAGAAAAGCAATTCATACGTCCTCTTTCTTCGTGTCGTCAGGTGGCAGTTGTGGGCTCCCTCTCACCAAACCAGAAGGCTGAGCTGATGCTGGATCCAGACAGCGGCGCTCTCGAGGATGTGGCCATCGTAAGGGAGGTGTTTGCAAGCTTGACAGAGTCCCGTGATGTGGAGCAGCTAAATCAGTTTTTCCAGGCTTTTGCAAACATCAGCAAGCAGGTGAATGCTTAACTTTTAGATTGACACATTTTCTGCCAAACAGGCCATGTGACACTTGTCCTGGGCCAGATGAATTTTTGCAGGAGCTAATAAGGAGCCATGGTTTGACTCAAAATGGTACATTCAGGTATTCCTCCTAAAGGAATTACCAGCGATGAGACCTCAAGTCATGCCCCTGATGCACTGAAGTACAAAGATGTGTCCCCAAGCTTGCGCTCATTTCTACAATGATTTCAGACAATTAAAACGTCCCCCTGAACTCCAACATGAATCCTTTTATTTCCAGAGAAACATCACCTTCCTCAGAAATCCAGATGTACGAGACACCATGTTGAACCTGACCTTGACGGCCCTTGCTCCTGAATTTGAAGACTTTGAGCCTGAAGACTTTCAGCTGTGGTTCCAGGGCAATTTGGCTCCTGTGATGGCAAGCCTCCATCCTGGCAGCTTGGCGGTGATTCCCAGTAACATCAGCTGTGTATCCTACTCAGCTATGTAAGAGATCATCTTTCTGAAGTCCACAGTTAGACATTCTGGGGTTGCACAATGTCAAACGGTGGCTCCAGACAAGTCACAATGATTGTTTGTTCTCTTCCTTTAGACTCACCGGTCTTGAGCAAAGTTTGCAATCCCTGCCACTGGACCTTTCACAGGGTGTGAGATCAAGCAAAAAATCGCTCAAGGAGACATTTACACGTACGTGGCAAAACGCTTTGCTGGCAAACTTTTTTAGCCGATTACCACTACTGTGATGATAACTGTATTGACCCATGCCCTTATTTCATATTTCTCTCAAACAGGTTGCTCAGTTCCAGATTCCTTCATGGTAAGTTAATTTCTCTGGACCTGTGTATTACATGGATCATTCAGCATTTGATCAAAATTTACAAGACACAAGTTTGGCACGTTTACGTCATTAAGGAGGCCACGTTAAGTTATTTTGAATTTAAATAGCTTTTGCCACTAGACTAACAATCATGTTTTGCTTGTCTCCAGTGCAAGGAGACCCCGGTTGATGGTAAGTCTGTAAAATGCCAGACATTTCATCTTTGATGACAAAATCGCATTCTGAAGCTACAATATCTCACACACCAATGTTGTCTTTTCACAGAGGACCTCATCTGTGCTGCAAGTGACAGGTAGGTGAATTACTGTTTTGTCCGGTGCTGAGTTTGCGTAGGTAAAGTTCTTTTACACAATCTAACTAAGGTGACCACGGTTTTGTTTTTCTATTGTTTTCCTCAGATCACAGCTCGAACACGCCCTGTCTTCAGGCAATTACTCTGAAGCCCTGTGCAATTTTACCATCACTGAGCATGCCTGTTCCTCGGTAAGGTTGTTTTCTCTGAGCTGTGAATCCCAGAGAAAGATTTGGCTTTTGCGACATTACCATCGTGAGACAAACCTCCATGATCTCTGACAGTCTTTGCTTCATTTTCTTGTCAATTTTTTTTTTCCAAGGCTGCACATCTTACACCCAGCAACTTGGCCACACTGCTGAAATGCTCACTGGAAAGCCAAAGGACATACCCGGTAGAGGTCTGGAAGCTTTTCTTCCAAAAAGCTTCCACTGACCTAGACCAGGCTCTTGCGACATTGGCCACCATGGTAAATCCAATCTCGCAATTTGGCAAAATTGGTGTTTCCCTGTGTGAATTCTGCGCCGAACCAAAATGATTTGTCCAATTCTAGGCCCCCAACAACAGCAGCCCATCCTTGTCAAATGCTCTTGAGGCCCTTGGAGAGGTGAGAATTGCCAACTTCAGCCAGGCGCAGCTGCAGAGTGATGGCTTTGTCAGCGACTGGTTCGGGACAAAGATTCGTCCGTTTTTGGCCTCTCCATCCCCCAACTTCCTGTTCTGCCTTACCACCAAGAACTTCAGCTGCCATACGTACCAGACTGTGTAAGCAAATATGCGATATATTGCTCCACTGTGAACAAGATTGCAGGGGAACCTGCAGTTTTCCAGTTGTTAAGATGTTAAAAGGCTTCTCTCAAATTTTAGCATCCAGGCATTCAGCAGCCAAAGGCCATCCATGGACAGAGAAAGACAGCAAGCAGTCTTCACTCATTTCATCAAACCATTCCTTTCAAGAAATGACTCATCAGGTAAAGGCTGGCACTCAGGCTCAATTTGGTAAAGGTCTGATAACATGTGGTGGTAATACCCCGTCACTGTCTTTGCTTGTGTCTTCTTCGCAGATCCTGGCTGTGTCTCATTGATCAGAGGTAGTAAAGAGTGGCTAGAGGGAAACTTCGGCAACTTCTCGGAATTTGCAACCCTGCAGGATTTGCAAGCCCTCAATCCCAACTTCTCCAGTGTAAGTGGTGACTGCAGTTGTAGTATTCTTCTCTCAAACTGACATGTCTCACCTATGGTTTTGCAATTACTGCTTTTTAATTTCATATTGATTCCCTCTGGTAGGCCGAAGCGTTGTCAGTGCTCACTCCTACTCAGATGGCACAGCTGACACTGAGCTCAGGTGCCGCGAATGACACAGACCAAATTGACCGTGTGTTTGAGCGACTTGAGGAGGGCAATGCTCTGGAAAATGTGGATGAATTCCTGACACAGCTGACAGCAGATGGAGAGGTAGGCTACTCTTGACACCGGGGGAAGAAGGACAATCTTGGGCTTTTAAACGAGCACACTCTGTACTTAGATATGTATCTAAACATTTACATCAGTTGTAGGGGACTCATTCATATCAAATTATTTGTTACATTCTTTCTGTCCTCCTGTATGGTGTACTTGCAACATGTAAACTTGTGTGGTATTTAAATCCTCCTGTGTTGTAATTTGACAGGTCCCTGATTTCCAACCTGCTGTGAGAGATCGCATGATGAATAGGACCTTTACCATCGTCAGTCCCCATTTCCCGAGCTTCACGGATCGCGACTGGTTTGTTTGGTTCCACCTGAAACTGGTTGCTATCCTGCCAAGTTTCAATCCAGAGATGCTCAAGAATGCAACCTCAAACATTAACTGCACAAACTACCATGTCGTGTGAGTAGCATTTAACAAACAAGCAAGATCCAGTGGACCAAAGTAGAAAACGCTGACTGTGTAAGAATGCTGTTTTTTTTCTTTTTCTTTTTGGCTCTTTGCAGCGTGAGGGGGGATGGCCAAAGCATTCCCTGCAATGAAGTCGGGTCGACGAGAAGGAATCGCAGAGGTTCTACTGGGCTACCTGAGAAAATCTGCCAGTGTCATCAACGAGCCAGGTAGGGCTGACGCAGTGAACTGCGCCATGTGGTTGCTTGTGTGGACGTGGACTTGTGAAAGAATTGGCTGAAATGGCACTGAGAGGAATACTGGCACTTGACTTGTTCCATGTGCATCAAGGAAAAATAATGCTTGTTAAATGTTACATGTGCTAACGTCCATCTACGTGCCTTAGTTTGCAGGCAAGGAATTCAGAGTGATGCCGAATGGCTTGAAGCAAACCTCGGCCCATTTTCCCAATACACAACATACTCTGACCTCAAAGTCTTCAACCTGTCTGAAGTAAGTCATACATTTCACTTCCAATCTTCCTTGAAAACAGCAGCACAATATTCAGAACTCGGGAAGTCTACAGACAGGGGTGGTTTTGTCCTGGCAAAGAGAAAAGCAATTCATACGTCCTCTTTCTTCGTGTCGTCAGGTGGCAGTTGTGGGCTCCCTCTCACCAAACCAGAAGGCTGAGCTGATGCTGGATCCAGACAGCGGCGCTCTCGAGGATGTGGCCATCGTAAGGGAGGTGTTTGCAAGCTTGACAGAGTCCCGTGATGTGGAGCAGCTCAATCAGTTTTTCCAGGCTTTTGCAAACATCAGCAAGCAGGTGAATGCTTAACTTTTAGATTGACACATTTTCTGCCAAACAGGCCATGTGACACTTGTCCTGGGCCAGATGAATTTTTGCAGGAGCTAATAAGGAGCCACGGTTTGACTCAAAATGGTACATTCAGGTATTCCTCCTAAAGGAATTACCAGCGACGAGACCTCGAGTCATGCCCCTGATGCACTGAAGTACAAAGATGTGTCCCCAAGCTTGCCCTCATTTCTACAATGATTTCAGACAATTAAAACGTCCCCCTGAACTCCAACATGAATCCTTTTATTTCCAGAGAAACATCACCGTCCTCAGAAATCCAGATGTACGAGACACCATGTTGAACCTGACCTTGACGGCCCTTGCTCCTGAATTTGAAGACTTTGAGCCTGAAGACTTTCAGCTGTGGTTCCAGGGCAATTTGGCTCCTGTGATGGCAAGCCTCCATCCTGGCAGCTTGGCGGTGATTCCCAGTAACATCAGCTGTGTATCCTACTCAGCTATGTAAGAGATCATCTTTCTGAAGTCCACAGTTAGACATTCTGGGGTTGCACAATGTCAAACGGTGGCTCCAGACAAGTCACAATGATTGTTTGTTCTCTTCCTTTAGACTCACCGGTCTTGAGCAAAGTTTGCAATCCCTGCCACTGGACCTTTCACAGGGTGTGAGATCAAGCAAAAAATCGCTCAAGGAGACATTTACACGTACGTGGCAAAAACGCTTTGCTGGCAAACTTTTTAGCCGATTACCACTACTGTGATGATAACTGTATTGACCCATGCCCTTATTTCATATTTCTCTCAAACAGGTTGCTCAGTTCCAGATTCCTTCATGGTAAGTTAATTTCTCTGGACCTGTGTATTACATGGATCATTCAGCATTTGATCAAAATTTACAAGACACAAGTTTGGCACGTTTACGTCATTAAGGAGGCCACGTTAAGTTATTTTGAATTTAAATAGCTTTTGCCACTAGACTAACAATCATGTTTTGCTTGTCTCCAGTGCAAGGAGACCCCGGTTGATGGTAAGTCTGTAAAATGCCAGACATTTCATCTTTGATGACAAAATCGCATTCTGAAGCTACAATATCTCACACACCAATGTTGTCTTTTCACAGAGGACCTCATCTGTGCTGCAAGTGACAGGTAGGTGAATTACTGTTTTGTCCGGTGCTGAGTTTGCGTAGGTAAAGTTCTTTTACACAATCTAACTAAGGTGACCACGGTTTTGTTTTTCTATTGTTTTCCTCAGATCACAGCTCGAACACGCCCTGTCTTCAGGCAATTACTCTGAAGCCCTGTGCAATTTTACCATCACTGAGCATGCCTGTTCCTCGGTAAGGTTGTTTTCTCTGAGCTGTGGATCCCAGAGAAAGATTTGGCTTTTGCGACATTACCATCGTGAGACAAACCTCCATGATCTCTGACAGTCTTTGCTTCATTTTCTTGTCAATTTTTTTTTTCCAAGGCTGCACATCTTACACCCAGCAACTTGGCCACACTGCTGAAATGCTCACTGGAAAGCCAAAGGACATACCCGGTAGAGGTCTGGAAGCTTTTCTTCCAAAAAGCTTCCACTGACCTAGACCAGGCTCTTGCGACATTGGCCACCATGGTAAATCCAATCTCGCAATTTGGCAAAATTGGTGTTTCCCTGTGTGAATTCTGCGCCGAACCAAAATGATTTGTCCAATTCTAGGCCCCCAACAACAGCAGCCCATCCTTGTCAAATGCTCTTGAGGCCCTTGGAGAGGTGAGAATTGCCAACTTCAGCCAGGCGCAGCTGCAGAGTGATGGCTTTGTCAGCGACTGGTTCGGGACAAAGATTCGTCCGTTTTTGGCCTCTCCATCCCCCAACTTCCTGTTCTGCCTTACCACCAAGAACTTCAGCTGCCATACGTACCAGACTGTGTAAGCAAATATGCGATATATTGCTCCACTGTGAACAAGATTGCAGGGGAACCTGCAGTTTTCCAGTTGTTAAGATGTTAAAAGGCTTCTCTCAAATTTTAGCATCCAGGCATTCAGCAGCCAAAGGCCATCCATGGACAGAGAAAGACAGCAAGCAGTCTTCACTCATTTCATCAAACCATTCCTTTCAAGAAATGACTCATCAGGTAAAGGCTGGCACTCAGGCTCAATTTGGTAAAGGTCTGATAACATGTGGTGGTAATACCCCGTCACTGTCTTTGCTTGTGTCTTCTTCGCAGATCCTGGCTGTGTCTCATTGATCAGAGGTAGTAAAGAGTGGCTAGAGGGAAACTTCGGCAACTTCTCGGAATTTGCAACCCTGCAGGATTTGCAAGCCCTCAATCCCAACTTCTCCAGTGTAAGTGGTGACTGCAGTTGTAGTATTCTTCTCTCAAACTGACATGTCTCACCTATGGTTTTGCAATTACTGCTTTTTAATTTCATATTGATTCCCTCTGGTAGGCCGAAGCGTTGTCAGTGCTCACTCCTACTCAGATGGCACAGCTGACACTGAGCTCAGGTGCCGCGAATGACACAGACCAAATTGACCGTGTGTTTGAGCGACTTGAGGAGGGCAATGCTCTGGAAAATGTGGATGAATTCCTGACACAGCTGACAGCAGATGGAGAGGTAGGCTACTCTTGACACCGGGGGAAGAAGGACAATCTTGGGCTTTTAAACGAGCACACTCTGTACTTAGATATGTATCTAAACATTTACATCAGTTGTAGGGGACTCATTCATATCAAATTATTTGTTACATTCTTTCTGTCCTCCTGTATGGTGTACTTGCAACATGTAAACTTGTGTGGTATTTAAATCCTCCTGTGTTGTAATTTGACAGGTCCCTGATTTCCAACCTGCTGTGAGAGATCGCATGATGAATAGGACCTTTACCATCGTCAGTCCCCATTTCCCGAGCTTCACGGATCGCGACTGGTTTGTTTGGTTCCACCTGAAACTGGTTGCTATCCTGCCAAGTTTCAATCCAGAGATGCTCAAGAATGCAACCTCAAACATTAACTGCACAAACTACCATGTCGTGTGAGTAGCATTTAACAAACAAGCAAGATCCAGTGGACCAAAGTAGAAAACGCTGACTGTGTAAGAATGCTGTTTTTTTTCTTTTTCTTTTTGGCTCTTTGCAGCGTGAGGGGGATGGCCAAAGCATTCCCTGCAATGAAGTCGGGTCGACGAGAAGGAATCGCAGAGGTTCTACTGGGCTACCTGAGAAAATCTGCCAGTGTCATCAACGAGCCAGGTAGGGCTGACGCAGTGAACTGCGCCATGTGGTTGCTTGTGTGGACGTGGACTTGTGAAAGAATTGGCTGAAATGGCACTGAGAGGAATACTGGCACTTGACTTGTTCCATGTGCATCAAGGAAAAATAATGCTTGTTAAATGTTACATGTGCTAACGTCCATCTACGTGCCTTAGTTTGCAGGCAAGGAATTCAGAGTGATGCCGAATGGCTTGAAGCAAACCTCGGCCCATTTTCCCAATACACAACATACTCTGACCTCAAAGTCTTCAACCTGTCTGAAGTAAGTCATACATTTCACTTCCAATCTTCCTTGAAAACAGCAGCACAATATTCAGAACTCGGGAAGTCTACAGACAGGGGTGGTTTTGTCCTGGCAAAGAGAAAAGCAATTCATACGTCCTCTTTCTTCGTGTCGTCAGGTGGCAGTTGTGGGCTCCCTCTCACCAAACCAGAAGGCTGAGCTGATGCTGGATCCAGACAGCGGCGCTCTCGAGGATGTGGCCATCGTAAGGGAGGTGTTTGCAAGCTTGACAGAGTCCCGTGATGTGGAGCAGCTCAATCAGTTTTTCCAGGCTTTTGCAAACATCAGCAAGCAGGTGAATGCTTAACTTTTAGATTGACACATTTTCTGCCAAACAGGCCATGTGACACTTGTCCTGGGCCAGATGAATTTTTGCAGGAGCTAATAAGGAGCCACGGTTTGACTCAAAATGGTACATTCAGGTATTCCTCCTAAAGGAATTACCAGCGACGAGACCTCGAGTCATGCCCCTGATGCACTGAAGTACAAAGATGTGACCCCAAGCTTGCCCTCATTTCTACAATGATTTCAGACAATTAAAACTTCCCCCTGAACTCCAACATGAATCCTTTTATTTCCAGAGAAACATCACCGTCCTCAGAAATCCAGATGTACGAGACACCATGTTGAACCTGACCTTGACGGCCCTTGCTCCTGAATTTGAAGACTTTGAGCCTGAAGACTTTCAGCTGTGGTTCCAGGGCAATTTGGCTCCTGTGATGGCAAGCCTCCATCCTGGCAGCTTGGCGGTGATTCCCAGTAACATCAGCTGTGTATCCTACTCAGCTATGTAAGAGATCATCTTTCTGAAGTCCACAGTTAGACATTCTGGGGTTGCACAATGTCAAACGGTGGCTCCAGACAAGTCACAATGATTGTTTGTTCTCTTCCTTTAGACTCACCGGTCTTGAGCAAAGTTTGCAATCCCTGCCACTGGACCTTTCACAGGGTGTGAGATCAAGCAAAAAATCGCTCAAGGAGACATTTACACGTACGTGGCAAAAACGCTTTGCTGGCAAACTTTTTTAGCCGATTACCACTACTGTGATGATAACTGTATTGACCCATGCCCTTATTTCATATTTCTCTCAAACAGGTTGCTCAGTTCCAGATTCCTTCATGGTAAGTTAATTTCTCTGGACCTGTGTATTACATGGATCATTCAGCATTTGATCAAAATTTACAAGACACAAGTTTGGCACGTTTACGTCATTAAGGAGGCCACGTTAAGTTATTTTGAATTTAAATAGCTTTTGCCACTAGACTAACAATCATGTTTTGCTTGTCTCCAGTGCAAGGAGACCCCGGTTGATGGTAAGTCTGTAAAATGCCAGACATTTCATCTTTGATGACAAAATCGCATTCTGAAGCTACAATATCTCACACACCAATGTTGTCTTTTCACAGAGGACCTCATCTGTGCTGCAAGTGACAGGTAGGTGAATTACTGTTTTGTCCGGTGCTGAGTTTGCGTAGGTAAAGTTCTTTTACACAATCTAACTAAGGTGACCACGGTTTTGTTTTTCTATTGTTTTCCTCAGATCACAGCTCGAACACGCCCTGTCTTCAGGCAATTACTCTGAAGCCCTGTGCAATTTTACCATCACTGAGCATGCCTGTTCCTCGGTAAGGTTGTTTTCTCTGAGCTGTGAATCCCAGAGAAAGATTTGGCTTTTGCGACATTACCATCGTGAGACAAACCTCCATGATCTCTGACAGTCTTTGCTTCATTTTCTTGTCAATTTTTTTTTCCAAGGCTGCACATCTTACACCCAGCAACTTGGCCACACTGCTGAAATGCTCACTGGAAAGCCAAAGGACATACCCGGTAGAGGTCTGGAAGCTTTTCTTCCAAAAAGCTTCCACTGACCTAGACCAGGCTCTTGCGACATTGGCCACCATGGTAAATCCAATCTCGCAATTTGGCAAAATTGGTGTTTCCCTGTGTGAATTCTGCGCCGAACCAAAATGATTTGTCCAATTCTAGGCCCCCAACAACAGCAGCCCATCCTTGTCAAATGCTCTTGAGGCCCTTGGAGAGGTGAGAATTGCCAACTTCAGCCAGGCGCAGCTGCAGAGTGATGGCTTTGTCAGCGACTGGTTCGGGACAAAGATTCGTCCGTTTTTGGCCTCTCCATCCCCCAACTTCCTGTTCTGCCTTACCACCAAGAACTTCAGCTGCCATACGTACCAGACTGTGTAAGCAAATATGCGATATATTGCTCCACTGTGAACAAGATTGCAGGGGAACCTGCAGTTTTCCAGTTGTTAAGATGTTAAAAGGCTTCTCTCAAATTTTAGCATCCAGGCATTCAGCAGCCAAAGGCCATCCATGGACAGAGAAAGACAGCAAGCAGTCTTCACTCATTTCATCAAACCATTCCTTTCAAGAAATGACTCATCAGGTAAAGGCTGGCACTCAGGCTCAATTTGGTAAAGGTCTGATAACATGTGGTGGTAATACCCCGTCACTGTCTTTGCTTGTGTCTTCTTCGCAGATCCTGGCTGTGTCTCATTGATCAGAGGTAGTAAAGAGTGGCTAGAGGGAAACTTCGGCAACTTCTCGGAATTTGCAACCCTGCAGGATTTGCAAGCCCTCAATCCCAACTTCTCCAGTGTAAGTGGTGACTGCAGTTGTAGTATTCTTCTCTCAAACTGACATGTCTCACCTATGGTTTTGCAATTACTGCTTTTTAATTTCATATTGATTCCCTCTGGTAGGCCGAAGCGTTGTCAGTGCTCACTCCTACTCAGATGGCACAGCTGACACTGAGCTCAGGTGCCGCGAATGACACAGACCAAATTGACCGTGTGTTTGAGCGACTTGAGGAGGGCAATGCTCTGGAAAATGTGGATGAATTCCTGACACAGCTGACAGCAGATGGAGAGGTAGGCTACTCTTGACACCGGGGGAAGAAGGACAATCTTGGGCTTTTAAACGAGCACACTCTGTACTTAGATATGTATCTAAACATTTACATCAGTTGTAGGGGACTCATTCATATCAAATTATTTGTTACATTCTTTCTGTCCTCCTGTATGGTGTACTTGCAACATGTAAACTTGTGTGGTATTTAAATCCTCCTGTGTTGTAATTTGACAGGTCCCTGATTTCCAACCTGCTGTGAGAGATCGCATGATGAATAGGACCTTTACCATCGTCAGTCCCCATTTCCCGAGCTTCACGGATCGCGACTGGTTTGTTTGGTTCCACCTGAAACTGGTTGCTATCCTGCCAAGTTTCAATCCAGAGATGCTCAAGAATGCAACCTCAAACATTAACTGCACAAACTACCATGTCGTGTGAGTAGCATTTAACAAACAAGCAAGATCCAGTGGACCAAAGTAGAAAACGCTGACTGTGTAAGAATGCTGTTTTTTTTTCTTTTTCTTTTTTGGCTCTTTGCAGCGTGAGGGGGATGGCCAAAGCATTCCCTGCAATGAAGTCGGGTCGACGAGAAGGAATCGCAGAGGTTCTACTGGGCTACCTGAGAAAATCTGCCAGTGTCATCAACGAGCCAGGTAGGGCTGACGCAGTGAACTGCGCCATGTGGTTGCTTGTGTGGACGTGGACTTGTGAAAGAATTGGCTGAAATGGCACTGAGAGGAATACTGGCACTTGACTTGTTCCATGTGCATCAAGGAAAAATAATGCTTGTTAAATGTTACATGTGCTAACGTCCATCTACGTGCCTTAGTTTGCAGGCAAGGAATTCAGAGTGATGCCGAATGGCTTGAAGCAAACCTCGGCCCATTTTCCCAATACACAACATACTCTGACCTCAAAGTCTTCAACCTGTCTGAAGTAAGTCATACATTTCACTTCCAATCTTCCTTGAAAACAGCAGCACAATATTCAGAACTCGGGAAGTCTACAGACAGGGGTGGTTTTGTCCTGGCAAAGAGAAAAGCAATTCATACGTCCTCTTTCTTCGTGTCGTCAGGTGGCAGTTGTGGGCTCCCTCTCACCAAACCAGAAGGCTGAGCTGATGCTGGATCCAGACAGCGGCGCTCTCGAGGATGTGGCCATCGTAAGGGAGGTGTTTGCAAGCTTGACAGAGTCCCGTGATGTGGAGCAGCTCAATCAGTTTTTCCAGGCTTTTGCAAACATCAGCAAGCAGGTGAATGCTTAACTTTTAGATTGACACATTTTCTGCCAAACAGGCCATGTGACACTTGTCCTGGGCCAGATGAATTTTTGCAGGAGCTAATAAGGAGCCACGGTTTGACTCAAAATGGTACATTCAGGTATTCCTCCTAAAGGAATTACCAGCGACGAGACCTCGAGTCATGCCCCTGATGCACTGAAGTACAAAGATGTGTCCCCAAGCTTGCCCTCATTTCTACAATGATTTCAGACAATTAAAACGTCCCCCTGAACTCCAACATGAATCCTTTTATTTCCAGAGAAACATCACCGTCCTCAGAAATCCAGATGTACGAGACACCATGTTGAACCTGACCTTGACGGCCCTTGCTCCTGAATTTGAAGACTTTGAGCCTGAAGACTTTCAGCTGTGGTTCCAGGGCAATTTGGCTCCTGTGATGGCAAGCCTCCATCCTGGCAGCTTGGCGGTGATTCCCAGTAACATCAGCTGTGTATCCTACTCAGCTATGTAAGAGATCATCTTTCTGAAGTCCACAGTTAGACATTCTGGGGTTGCACAATGTCAAACGGTGGCTCCAGACAAGTCACAATGATTGTTTGTTCTCTTCCTTTAGACTCACCGGTCTTGAGCAAAGTTTGCAATCCCTGCCACTGGACCTTTCACAGGGTGTGAGATCAAGCAAAAAATCGCTCAAGGAGACATTTACACGTACGTGGCAAAAACGCTTTGCTGGCAAACTTTTTTAGCCGATTACCACTACTGTGATGATAACTGTATTGACCCATGCCCTTATTTCATATTTCTCTCAAACAGGTTGCTCAGTTCCAGATTCCTTCATGGTAAGTTAATTTCTCTGGACCTGTGTATTACATGGATCATTCAGCATTTGATCAAAATTTACAAGACACAAGTTTGGCACGTTTACGTCATTAAGGAGGCCACGTTAAGTTATTTTGAATTTAAATAGCTTTTGCCACTAGACTAACAATCATGTTTTGCTTGTCTCCAGTGCAAGGAGACCCCGGTTGATGGTAAGTCTGTAAAATGCCAGACATTTCATCTTTGATGACAAAATCGCATTCTGAAGCTACAATATCTCACACACCAATGTTGTCTTTTCACAGAGGACCTCATCTGTGCTGCAAGTGACAGGTAGGTGAATTACTGTTTTGTCCGGTGCTGAGTTTGCGTAGGTAAAGTTCTTTTACACAATCTAACTAAGGTGACCACGGTTTTGTTTTTCTATTGTTTTCCTCAGATCACAGCTCGAACACGCCCTGTCTTCAGGCAATTACTCTGAAGCCCTGTGCAATTTTACCATCACTGAGCATGCCTGTTCCTCGGTAAGGTTGTTTTCTCTGAGCTGTGGATCCCAGAGAAAGATTTGGCTTTTGCGACATTACCATCGTGAGACAAACCTCCATGATCTCTGACAGTCTTTGCTTCATTTTCTTGTCAATTTTTTTTTTCCAAGGCTGCACATCTTACACCCAGCAACTTGGCCACACTGCTGAAATGCTCACTGGAAAGCCAAAGGACATACCCGGTAGAGGTCTGGAAGCTTTTCTTCCAAAAAGCTTCCACTGACCTAGACCAGGCTCTTGCGACATTGGCCACCATGGTAAATCCAATCTCGCAATTTGGCAAAATTGGTGTTTCCCTGTGTGAATTCTGCGCCGAACCAAAATGATTTGTCCAATTCTAGGCCCCCAACAACAGCAGCCCATCCTTGTCAAATGCTCTTGAGGCCCTTGGAGAGGTGAGAATTGCCAACTTCAGCCAGGCGCAGCTGCAGAGTGATGGCTTTGTCAGCGACTGGTTCGGGACAAAGATTCGTCCGTTTTTGGCCTCTCCATCCCCCAACTTCCTGTTCTGCCTTACCACCAAGAACTTCAGCTGCCATACGTACCAGACTGTGTAAGCAAATATGCGATATATTGCTCCACTGTGAACAAGATTGCAGGGGAACCTGCAGTTTTCCAGTTGTTAAGATGTTAAAAGGCTTCTCTCAAATTTTAGCATCCAGGCATTCAGCAGCCAAAGGCCATCCATGGACAGAGAAAGACAGCAAGCAGTCTTCACTCATTTCATCAAACCATTCCTTTCAAGAAATGACTCATCAGGTAAAGGCTGGCACTCAGGCTCAATTTGGTAAAGGTCTGATAACATGTGGTGGTAATACCCCGTCACTGTCTTTGCTTGTGTCTTCTTCGCAGATCCTGGCTGTGTCTCATTGATCAGAGGTAGTAAAGAGTGGCTAGAGGGAAACTTCGGCAACTTCTCGGAATTTGCAACCCTGCAGGATTTGCAAGCCCTCAATCCCAACTTCTCCAGTGTAAGTGGTGACTGCAGTTGTAGTATTCTTCTCTCAAACTGACATGTCTCACCTATGGTTTTGCAATTACTGCTTTTTAATTTCATATTGATTCCCTCTGGTAGGCCGAAGCGTTGTCAGTGCTCACTCCTACTCAGATGGCACAGCTGACACTGAGCTCAGGTGCCGCGAATGACACAGACCAAATTGACCGTGTGTTTGAGCGACTTGAGGAGGGCAATGCTCTGGAAAATGTGGATGAATTCCTGACACAGCTGACAGCAGATGGAGAGGTAGGCTACTCTTGACACCGGGGGAAGAAGGACAATCTTGGGCTTTTAAACGAGCACACTCTGTACTTAGATATGTATCTAAACATTTACATCAGTTGTAGGGGACTCATTCATATCAAATTATTTGTTACATTCTTTCTGTCCTCCTGTATGGTGTACTTGCAACATGTAAACTTGTGTGGTATTTAAATCCTCCTGTGTTGTAATTTGACAGGTCCCTGATTTCCAACCTGCTGTGAGAGATCGCATGATGAATAGGACCTTTACCATCGTCAGTCCCCATTTCCCGAGCTTCACGGATCGCGACTGGTTTGTTTGGTTCCACCTGAAACTGGTTGCTATCCTGCCAAGTTTCAATCCAGAGATGCTCAAGAATGCAACCTCAAACATTAACTGCACAAACTACCATGTCGTGTGAGTAGCATTTAACAAACAAGCAAGATCCAGTGGACCAAAGTAGAAAACGCTGACTGTGTAAGAATGCTGTTTTTTTTCTTTTTCTTTTTGGCTCTTTGCAGCGTGAGGGGGATGGCCAAAGCATTCCCTGCAATGAAGTCGGGTCGACGAGAAGGAATCGCAGAGGTTCTACTGGGCTACCTGAGAAAATCTGCCAGTGTCATCAACGAGCCAGGTAGGGCTGACGCAGTGAACTGCGCCATGTGGTTGCTTGTGGGGACGTGGACTTGTGAAAGAATTGGCTGAAATGGCACTGAGAGGAAAACTGGCACTTGACTTGTTCCATGTGCATCAAGGAAAAATAATGCTTGTTAAATGTAACATGTGCTAACGTCCATCTACGTGCCTTAGTTTGCAGGCAAGGAATTCAGAGTGATGCCGAATGGCTTGAAGCAAACCTCGGCCCATTTTCCCAATACACAACATACTCTGACCTCAAAGTCTTCAACCTGTCTGAAGTAAGTCATACATTTCACTTCCAATCTTCCTTGAAAACAGCAGCACAATATTCAGAACTCGGGAAGTCTACAGACAGGGGTGGTTTTGTCCTGGCAAAGAGAAAAGCAATTCATACGTCCTCTTTCTTCGTGTCGTCAGGTGGCAGTTGTGGGCTCCCTCTCACCAAACCAGAAGGCTGAGCTGATGCTGGATCCAGACAGCGGCGCTCTCGAGGATGTGGCCATCGTAAGGGAGGTGTTTGCAAGCTTGACAGAGTCCCGTGATGTGGAGCAGCTCAATCAGTTTTTCCAGGCTTTTGCAAACATCAGCAAGCAGGTGAATGCTTAACTTTTAGATTGACACATTTTCTGCCAAACAGGCCATGTGACACTTGTCCTGGGCCAGATGAATTTTTGCAGGAGCTAATAAGGAGCCACGGTTTGACTCAAAATGGTACATTCAGGTATTCCTCCTAAAGGAATTACCAGCGACGAGACCTCGAGTCATGCCCCTGATGCACTGAAGTACAAAGATGTGTCCCCAAGCTTGCCCTCATTTCTACAATGATTTCAGACAATTAAAACGTCCCCCTGAACTCCAACATGAATCCTTTTATTTCCAGAGAAACATCACCGTCCTCAGAAATCCAGATGTACGAGACACCATGTTGAACCTGACCTTGACGGCCCTTGCTCCTGAATTTGAAGACTTTGAGCCTGAAGACTTTCAGCTGTGGTTCCAGGGCAATTTGGCTCCTGTGATGGCAAGCCTCCATCCTGGCAGCTTGGCGGTGATTCCCAGTAACATCAGCTGTGTATCCTACTCAGCTATGTAAGAGATCATCTTTCTGAAGTCCACAGTTAGACATTCTGGGGTTGCACAATGTCAAACGGTGGCTCCAGACAAGTCACAATGATTGTTTGTTCTCTTCCTTTAGACTCACCGGTCTTGAGCAAAGTTTGCAATCCCTGCCACTGGACCTTTCACAGGGTGTGAGATCAAGCAAAAAATCGCTCAAGGAGACATTTACACGTACGTGGCAAAAACGCTTTGCTGGCAAACTTTTTTAGCCGATTACCACTACTGTGATGATAACTGTATTGACCCATGCCCTTATTTCATATTTCTCTCAAACAGGTTGCTCAGTTCCAGATTCCTTCATGGTAAGTTAATTTCTCTGGACCTGTGTATTACATGGATCATTCAGCATTTGATCAAAATTTACAAGACACAAGTTTGGCACGTTTACGTCATTAAGGAGGCCACGTTAAGTTATTTTGAATTTAAATAGCTTTTGCCACTAGACTAACAATCATGTTTTGCTTGTCTCCAGTGCAAGGAGACCCCGGTTGATGGTAAGTCTGTAAAATGCCAGACATTTCATCTTTGATGACAAAATCGCATTCTGAAGCTACAATATCTCACACACCAATGTTGTCTTTTCACAGAGGACCTCATCTGTGCTGCAAGTGACAGGTAGGTGAATTACTGTTTTGTCCGGTGCTGAGTTTGCGTAGGTAAAGTTCTTTTACACAATCTAACTAAGGTGACCACGGTTTTGTTTTTCTATTGTTTTCCTCAGATCACAGCTCGAACACGCCCTGTCTTCAGGCAATTACTCTGAAGCCCTGTGCAATTTTACCATCACTGAGCATGCCTGTTCCTCGGTAAGGTTGTTTTCTCTGAGCTGTGGATCCCAGAGAAAGATTTGGCTTTTGCGACATTACCATCGTGAGACAAACCTCCATGATCTCTGACAGTCTTTGCTTCATTTTCTTGTCAATTTTTTTTTCCAAGGCTGCACATCTTACACCCAGCAACTTGGCCACACTGCTGAAATGCTCACTGGAAAGCCAAAGGACATACCCGGTAGAGGTCTGGAAGCTTTTCTTCCAAAAAGCTTCCACTGACCTAGACCAGGCTCTTGCGACATTGGCCACCATGGTAAATCCAATCTCGCAATTTGGCAAAATTGGTGTTTCCCTGTGTGAATTCAGCGCCGAACCAAAATGATTTGTCCAATTCTAGGCCCCCAACAACAGCAGCCCATCCTTGGCAAATGCTCTTGAGGCCCTTGGAGAGGTGAGAATTGCCAACTTCAGCCAGGCGCAGCTGCAGAGTGATTGCTTTGTCAGCGACTGGTTCGGGACAAAGATTCGTCCGTTTTTGGCCTCTCCATCCCCCAACTTCCTGTTCTGCCTTACCACCAAGAGCTTCAGCTGCCATACGTACCAGACTGTGTAAGCAAATATGCGATATATTGCTCCACTGTGAACAAGATTGCAGGGGAACCTGCAGTTTTCCAGTTGTTAAGATGTTAAAAGGCTTCTCTCAAATTTTAGCATCCAGGCATTCAGCAGCCAAAGGCCATCCATGGACAGAGAAAGACAGCAAGCAGTCTTCACTCATTTCATCAAACCATTCCTTTCAAGAAATGACTCATCAGGTAAAGGCTGGCACTCAGGCTCAATTTGGTAAAGGCTTGATAACATGTGGTGGTAATACCCCGTCACTGTCTTTGTTTGTGTCTTCTTCGCAGATCCTGGCTGTGTCTCATTGATCAGAGGTAGTAAAGAGTGGCTAGAGGGAAACTTCGGCAACTTCTCGGAATTTGCAACCCTGCAAGATTTGCAAGCCCTCAATCCCAACTTCTCCAGTGTAAGTGGTGACTGCAGTTGTAGTATTCTTCTCTCAAACTGACATGTCTCACCTATGGTTTTGCAATTACTGCTTTTTAATTTCATATTGATTCCCTCTCGTAGGCCGCAGCGTTGTCAGTGCTCACTCCTACTCAGGTGGCACAGCTGACACTGAGCTCAGGTGCCGCGAATGACACAGACCAAATTGACCGTGTGTTTGAGCGACTTGAGGAGGGCAATGCTCTGGAAAATGTGGATGAATTCCTGACACAGCTGACAGCAGATGGAGAGGTAGGCTACTCTTGACACCGGGGGAAGAAGGACAATCTTGGGCTTTTAAACGAGCACACTCTGTACTTAGATATGTATCTAAACATTTACATCCGTTGTTGGGGACTCATTCATATCAAATTATTTGTTACATTCTTTCTGTCCTCCTGTATGGTGTACTTGCAACATGTAAACTTGTGTGGTATTTAAATCCTCCTGTGTCGTAATTTGACAGGTCCCTGATTTCCAACCTGTTGTGAGAGATCGCATGATGAATAGGACCTTTACCATCGTCAGTCCCCATTTCCCGAGCTTCACGGATCGCGACTGGTTTGTTTGGTTCCACCTGAAACTGGTTGCTATCCTGCCAAGTTTCAATCCAGAGATGCTCAAGAATGCAACTTCAAACATTAACTGCACAAACTACCATGTCGTGTGAGTAGCATTTAACAAACAAGCAAGATCCAGTGGACCAAAGTAGAAAACGCTGACTGTGTAAGAATGCTGTTTTTTTTCTTTTTCTTTTTTGGCTCTTTGCAGCGTGAGGGGGATGGCCAAAGCATTCCCTGCAATGAAGTCGGGTCGACGAGAAGGAATCGCAGAGGTTCTACTGGGCTACCTGAGAAAATCTGCCAGTGTCATCAACAAGCCAGGTAGGGCTGACGCAGTGAACTGCGCCACGTGGTTGCTTGTGTGGACTTGGACTTAAAAGAATGGGCTGAAATGGCACTGAGAGGGAAAACTGGCACTTGGCTTCTTCCATGTGCATCAAAATAATGCTTGTTAAATGTTACATGTGCTAACGTCCATCTATGTGCCTTAGTTTGCAGGCAAGGAATTCAGAGTGATGCCGAATGGCTTGAAGCAAACTTCGGCCCATTTTTCCAATACATAACATACTCTGACCTCAAAGTCTTCAACCTGTCTGAAGTAAGTTATACATTTCACTTCCAATCTTCCTTGAAAACACTAGTATACAGAACACAATTGTTCCTTTTCTGAAGTACTATTTGAATGGTTAATTTTGATGATTTATTTTGATTATTTAATTATTGACTTGTATTACCATTAAGGCCTTTACATGCCAGGGACATAATAAACAAACAATAGAAATATGCAAAAATTCCTTTAATTACATCCAACTCAAACAGCAGTCAGAAAACAGTAAATACAAAGAATGATAGGATAATTGTTTTTCGTTAATTCCTGGAACATTTTGATTGAAAAGGGCTCCCAGACATTGGTTGTCCATTTTGTGTACTGTTTAACTGGTGTGATCCATATCTCGGTCACTGTCCACTGCCTCTTTTCCAAGGTTTTGGTAGGATTATTACAGAGTGGCAGTGCATTCATAACCAAATGTCTGTGTGTGTATCTCTTTGTGTATCTGTGAGGATATGTTGCCAGGCCTGTAGACCCAATAGAGGGTTCTGCTTGAGTTAATTTGGTTACAAAGAGTAATGGTTGTCCACAAAACAGAAAGAAATTGGAGAAAGATTTTGTTAAAACTAAGTATTTGTTAAATATTGTTTTTGTCTTATATCCTTCTCTTAGGTGACAGTGCTAGACTCTCTTTCTCCAAGTCAAAAAGCTGAATTGCTTCTTGAACCAAATAACTTGTCAAATGAAACCCTTGCAAGACTTGCGTTCACAGAACTAAGTGTGTCATCCCGTGTGGAAGACCTTGGTTCTTTCTTTGACACATTTGTTAGTGGTGCTGCAGAGGTAAGAATCTTAATTATATTTAGCTTATTCAATTTTTTCCTATTAAAATAAAAAATAAACTGTATGGATTTTTTTTCTAGCAAAACTTGACAACCCTTGACCCAAGAGTCCGTGATACCATCCTGAATCTGACACTAATGGCACTTGGACCAAAACTATCAATGCTAGATGCTGAGGGATTCAGGTTATGGTTCCAGGTCTACCTACATCTGTTCCTTCCAGGCACTAAGTCAAGCACACTTGAAATTATTCCAAGAAACATCAGCTGTGACTCCTATCAAGAGATGTAAGTGACAACTCTATTTTTCAACTTGTTATATTGACCAAAAGTGTAGAAAAGGGAATGGAAATAAAGAATGGAAACATTCTGTTACACAGTTTGGTGAACGGAAGAATTTTTATTCTATTCACAGTGTGAAGGGGTTCGACAATGTTTTCACTCATCTCTCCGTGAGGCAGACCCAGCAGGTTTTCACCTTCACAATGGACTATCTGAGGAGACAATCCTCCTTAGGTAACTTGGATAGCATAATAGCTTAACATTACATTGGCTAGTACATGTGTGCTGTGGGTGTGTATAAATCGACATTGCTATGTTTGGTATGGAATGTTCAGTTTAAAGATTCAGTATTTTGATTCCTAGGTCTCTCTTGTGTTGAATCTGTAAATGATGACAAACACTGGCTGGAAGACAACTTTGGTCGGTTCCGTGAGCATGCCTCCTACAGAGATTTCGTGACCTTGAAGAACAATTTCAATGGAGTAAGTGTTGCCCTTTAGTCTTTGTCAGTTTCACATGATAACATATGTACGTGTTAAAATAGTTGCCCTATAGTATGTTTTGTTAATATGGATTGCTTGTAATTTCACTTGGATTACAGTTCATAATCAGCTGATTTAACAGTTTTTTAACTTTTGAATTTATGCATGGATTCTGTGAAAAAAACATTTTTGACTATTTTCACTAGTGGCCAGGTTGTGTGGCTTTGCACAACATCAATGAGACAATGTTTACAAAAGTTCAATCCCGGGTAGAGGGAGCATGAGCTTGTTGGTTTTAGCCATCAGCTAAATTTACAATAATCTGCCAAATTTGAAGATATGTGTCAAACTAAGCTAAACAGTTAGAATACATACAGACAGCTATTAGCTGAGCTAGTGCGCTGTGCAACATAGAGCCAGGGGTGAGAGGCTGTGGACAGAGCAGATTAAAATATATTTACCCAAGATGTTTCATTGCACTTACAGTAACAAGTATAGTCATCAGCTCAATGTATGTGTATGTGTGTGTGTGTGTGTGTGTGTGTGTGTGTGTGTGTGTGTGTGTGTGTGTGTGTGTGTGTGCGTGTGTGTGGAGGAGTTCAGCACTGAAGCAGAGAGCATGGGAGAGGCTGTAGTGTGATAAAACATTACTCCAAAACATTAAAAAGTACACATTAGGGCACCTGGTTAGCTTAGTCGGTAGAGCTGGTGACCCATGGAGTTGCTGCAGCGGCCCAGGTTCGAATCCGACCTGTGGCCCTTGCTGCGTGTCATCCCCTCTCTCTCTGCCCCCCTTTCCTGTCTATCTTCGGCTGTCACTATACAATAAAGGCAATAAAAGGCCAAAAATAAATAAATAAATAAATAAAAACACAACACACGAAATAACCAGTAATATCAGAGCTTATCATACTATAGTCTTAAATAATTTATCCCTAGGCCCATTTAATAATAGCATTTAATGGGCCATGGGTTCGAGTCTGACCTGTGGCCTTTTGCTGTGTGTCACCCCCCCCCCCACTCTCTCACCCTTTCCTTATTTATACACATATATAAATGGCCTTAGCTGGAGAAAACAGACGTATAAATTGATGCATAGTGGGAAGCTGGAACTAGGTATTTATTCAAATGTGCTAATTAGATGACTGTGTAACATGGGAAGTCATAAGCTTAACCTAAGAATACAACTGCATGCCATAATAGATTTCACTTTTGGTGTTCACTTACTGATATGCTGTTTGTCACTTTTAGGTGGAGGTTGCAGATCTTCTCACTTTCAGTCAGCTGGCCCAACTTGCAGCAACTCCCTCACAGCTAAAAAGGATGCAGGATGTGACCAAGATAATGGCAGTCATCAACCCTGTTGACTTTGGTGCTTTCTTTGATACAGTCTCACCAGCCATTGAGGTAAACATCTACATATATGACACTTGTTTTTTGCTCTGATAGTAATTTACACAGTATTTGTAGGATTTGTAGGTATAATCTTTACTTTGGTGTCATCTAGTGGTTGTGTCAAGAATAACACTATTTGCCACATGTACACTGAAATACCAGTTTATAGGGTACTATAACACTTAAAACCAGTCTCTTTGGACAACTCTGCAATAAATTGTACCTTCATTAAGGGTATGAAAAAGAGGTATTAAATTAACGTAATGGTCAAGTTTGTGGTGCTTTTAAAATGCAAAGTTAGTATTATGTCCAGCCACATATATCACTCACACTTTTGTAAGTGAGAAAGCAAAACCTGACCTTTAGCTGCCTGGTTGCTTGTTGAGCAAGCTAGCAAACATCAACCAGAAAAAAAGTGAGCTTCAGTGTTGTTTTGCTGACTAACATTAGCAAGTTTTTTTTATTTTACATTTTTTGCAGCATCATACACTCAAATGCCAATTGGGTATGTCTAGCTAAAACTAATGCATAGCGATACAACAGCTCTGCAATAAATTTTACCTTTGTGAAGGTGATAGAAACTGTTTTAGAGAGGTGTTGAATTAAGTTAATGAAGGTTGTGGTGTTGTATTGTATTACTTTATATTCCACCTCATTCAACTGTATCATATTTTTGTAGCAGTAACATGACATTACCTGTGAACAACAGCAAATATTAGCTTTCTAGATGGACACATTTTGTCTTGTATCTTTGCTTATTGAACAAGCTAGCAAATGCCCACCAGGAAAAAGTGCACTCGCTAACATCTTTATTTTCAGGCTAACTAAAGCTAGCAAGTTAACTAAGCAGTTACTGTAGCAATTTAAACTCAATGAAATCTACCTGGTAGCTGCACTGTTGAGGTTGGTTAGTTTAGGTGTAGAGTTGGGTGGGCTTCTTTCTTCAATACCACAGCAAAACACACTTTTGTGAGCCTATGCAACTCAGTTAATCAAGCACTTGACCCACCTTCTCACAGGCTTAAAGCTGATGGAGCATTTCTGATATAGCTGCAAAAAGAGTTATGTTCAGTTGGATTCTAAAAACAACAGAGGAACATATATTTGGATTTACATATAATGAGATCATTGATGATTAAAATTAACATGATTAATAACATAACATTTTATTTTCATATAAACCAATAGTTCAACTCCGGTATTTGAGCTGCCTCTAGTGGTACTATGTGGAACTTAGGAAATATTTTTCAGAAATAATTAATCAATTAATTAAAAAACACAATACTATTATTTACTACAAAATTTGAAATAAATATACTTAAACTAAAATATTGCTGAAATGTTAATTAAAATAAGTTTTTCTAGTATTTATTTTTTTTCAGCCTGCTTTGTTGTCACATTCATACCTGCATACAGTTACAGTAGTTACATTAGTTAAAATCTAAAATGTGATGCAATCACATGTGATGCACTGCAAATTAGTATTTGAAGGAGAAGTGAGAACCACAACAGTGAACAATAAATAATTTTCTTATTAGGAACAAACCTGCCTCTTACATGAACTGTTCATGAATAAATAGGGCCAGCCTGTGCTACTGGATTTTAATGTTGGTAATAATGGTGGTATGTGGAGAGCCTTATAATATTGTCTGAGGTTGTGCGCAGTGTAAAAAATAAAGAAACACTGACGTAACCATTTGATTTCGGAGTTTAGCTTCTTACTAATATTATGTAAAATTCTCCCCAGATCCACCCAGCCAACTACACAGAGGAGGTGAAATCTGCCCTCCTCCAGGAAGTGTTTGACAGAGGAAATCTGTCCTCTCCAGCTATCAATGACACAGAGTTCCTGCTGTGGCTCAGGGTTCGACTGAGACCTCTCCTGGTTAACCTCTCTCCCAGCCTAGTGACACCTTTGTTTGACATCGGGAAGAACAGGAATTGTAACAGTAGCCAAGAGATGTAAGAATTTCTGCAGTGGTGATTTTGATCATTGTGATGATATGTCTTTTTAATTGCCTCAGACTAATATTTATCTGAATTTAGGATTACGTTGTTGGACAAGCTACACTTAACACTCAGCAATGATACCCAAAGGAAGATCTACCAAAGCACCCTTCTCTTCCTTCAAGGTTTGTGCGAGAGACACACATCTATGATGAAATGAAATTTGTTGTGAAGTAATTATGTATTTCAGTGTTTCTTTTCTCAGACAAAATTTGCCCAAAAATAATAGAAATTATTTAAAACAGGTCCAAACCCCCTCAAGTGTTACAGTGGTGGAAGCTTCTACATCTACCTGAGGAATACTTTCCTCAGCTTTGGCTTTCCAGATTTGTCCACGTTCACTTCTCTTCTGCCACAGACACACGAGTCAGAGGTAATATAACAATATTTACTTGCAGAGGGTAAAATACAGACATTGCCTTTCCACAGGAGAATTATCCACTTACCTGGCGGATGGATGTTCCAGCAGTAATATCAAAATATTCTTCTGTACACTATAACTTTTTCAAGTATATTTTTTTTTCTTTCAGCTCTTAAGTACCATCAGCACCTCAGAGCTTCGCCAGTTCCTCAGTCAACCCAATGTGATTGGGAACAACTCTGACATCTGTGTCATCTTCAACAACTACAACAACACTCCTGTCTTCCTAGCAACTGTATGTTCCTCTTCTGAATGCCATATAACATACATTATTACTGACGTGGCATGTTGATATTGGTAACATCAAAATGGCCATTTTGTCACCATACAGAGTATAAAATACATCACTTAATCATCAGTCTAAAATCATAAATATTACACCAGTCTTATGTTAAACATGTAAATACATGTGTATGCCATTAGGAGGATGTTCCAGATGATGTGAAGATGGCAACCCTCCCCTGTGTCTGGCCCTTGGTACTGAGCAGCAACAGCAGATCAGAGGTTAATTCCTGGTTTGACCTACGGTTGAGGAACTATCTCAGATTCCTCAGCAAGAGCCTCATCAGCTCCAGTGAAGTGCAGAATGCTTCATGTCTTGCCTTCCAGAAACTGTAAGTCTCTTGTTCAGTATTAGAAAGCTCAGTACCCTATGTGTCACCCAATGTATTAAGATTTGTCTTGTATCAACTGATATGTCTCATCTCATGAAATAAAAAATAAAAAAAGAAAGCTCATTGACAACAGGACTGTCATTGGTGGACTACATGATATTCAATTTTCTTTTGGATAGGGTCTCTGTAATGGGAAATAACTTCACATACAATGGCACTGAGTTTGGACAGGCTGATGTATACACCACCATCAGAGCCTACTTGAGAACTGGTAAGACATTAGACATAAGTAAATGTATAATGTACGATGGATGTGTGATGAAGGTGTTTAAAATTCAAGGAATTACAATTTTACCAACCCAGTCTTCATTTATAGCAAAGGATCTGATACTGACACACTGAGTCTAACTAGTGTAATTCTACAAAATATCTGTTAGTAGGGGTGTGATACTGACTGATAAGACAACTAGGAGTTTTTGAAAAAAATGTTTTGCCCAGTGCAGCTTTAGTTTTTCTGAAACGAACTTTACATCACAAATGACCCTGTTCACTCGACCCATGCTAGCAGCGTGGATTGCAATGCCAATCTGTCATGAAATTTTCTACAAACATTCATGGTATTCAGAAGATGATTCCTAAATTTTCCTCTCGCACCATGAGGTTGACATTTGTGGATATGTGCAGAGCTGTAGAGTGTCTTTACACTCTTGTTTCAGTTTGAGCTCCACTGGTGTTTAAATATTTGAACCATTATACGTCATATAAAGAGATGAAAGTATTGTACTTAAGTTATTTTTTTTACAAGATTCTGGTTTTGTCCACAGACTCTGGAGCCAGATGCTACAATGCCAGTGATGCAGAACTCAATTCTACCGCCTGGTTTGTCATTAACATCGGCAGCTTTGTGACATTTATCACTCTGGATGATCTCACCTCCTTCGTCTCCACCAGTCAAGTATGTCCTTATATCAGTTCTACATAATTTATTTAATGTTTGTTCATTTAATTAGCCATAGCTTTCACAGTCGTAATCTGGCTTTGTCTCAATCTATTTTCAGTTTATCATTAATTTATCTAAGTGAAGACTGAGAAAATCAAACGCATTATTTTAAAATATATATTTATTTTACCTATTTGCTCCTTTGTTTTTGAAGATTGGAGTGTTTTTGTTGGATCAAGCCAACCTGGAGCTCTTTAACAACACAGCAATCCCAGAAAATGTAACCAACTACTACATCTCACAGCTTTTTGAATTCAGCCCAAACTTCAATCCAGTGAAGTGAGTAAATTGACAAGAAATATGTAATATCATACATATTGTTTGGTTGTGAATGTTGACTATAATGATTTTTATATGAAAATGAAAATTATGTAACTTTTCATCCAGGCTTCCAGGCTTTTTCCTGTGCTCTCCTGAGGTCCCATCTGTAGCATATTCTTCTTTAAATGAAGGTGATACCATCTTCATCTTAAATAAGCTGAAGAAGTTCTGCAATGGAACAGAGGACGCTGAGGTACCAGCTCCAATTGTTTTTATACAGAACAGACTTTGAGCATTTTAACCTTTTGTGTTGATTATCCTTAGTCCTTTTGGTCAGTGCAGAACAGAGTTACTGTGCGTACTGTGCTGTAGACAATTTTGGCAAATTTTGTGACAGGCTGGGTTTATGATTTTAAACTCTATGAAGTGTTAACTTTTGAAATACATGGTCTACTGAGTCGGCGTTACAGTGTCTGGGTGGTTAGTCTCTGAGAAGTGTGTACCAATATGGAATTACAACTTGTCCGGGGTCTTCCCATCTTTCATCCAGTGCATCATAGAATCTGATCCAGCCTGTCATGATCTTAATAGGAAAAGCTGCAAATAGAAGAAGAGAATGAATGAGTTAAAGATTTGCAACTTTCAACAGGCAGCTTTTGAAAGAAAGAAACCAATTCCAATCCAGGTTGAACTTTCTTCAGCTAGTCGAGCATATCTCTCTCTTCATACCTCTTAGCTCTGTTTCATGAGGTGCTATGTTGGTACATGCTACCAGTCTATATAGGTTTTAAGTTTGTAAACAACAACTAGACAGATGAAAACTATACAACAGTAAAAATGTCCTTAGGTGACTTTTTTCATAACCTGGTGGATTTTATTCTGTAGGTATCTGCTGCTCTAGCATCCAACATCCAGACCATCACAGCAGACACATTTGCTACCCTGGGCAGTGCCAGTGCAGGCCTGACCATCAGCCAGATCACTTCAATTTCCCCGTCAGTGCTGATTTCCTCTTTGTCCACCCTGAGCACAGTCAGCACCTGGAACCAGGAGCAGGCCGCCACTATCATCCAAATCATGACTGCCTCAGGCTACCAGGTAATGGCTTTACTGCCCACTTAACATGGCTGATAACCATGTGATATACTTAATGCTTTGCTTAACTGTTCTCTGTATTTGATTCAGCATTGTTTTATTAAATATAAAATGACACTGAAGTACATTGTATATGCCTCTTTGATAAATGCAAATGTGTTAAACAGATCAACAGTGCAGCCTCCCTGGAATCCCTCAGCACACTTGTTGCTGGAGTTTCTTCAGAGTCAATGGAAAATATCCCAGCTTCTGAGCTACTCACTGCCTCCAAGAGCAGCACCTTTGTTGCTAACGTAATGGCAGCCCCAGCAGTTGTCCAACAGACCTTCATCAACAAGGTACAGTTAGCTTCTGATTCTACCATAACATTACAGCCATGTTTCTCAACAACTCAACAATCTTTAGGGCACATCTCTGTATGGTATTAAAAAATGTATTAAAAAAATCTTTCTTAGAGAATCAGGGATCAAAAAACAATGATATTAAACATGTATGGTGTTGATTTAAGAATAAGATGAAAACATATTTTATACTATGATGCAGGGCTCACTGTGCTCTTCACTGTAAATATATAAATAATTGTAATATTGTAATAACAAAACATCAATCAAAGCTAATGCAGCAAAGGACAGTATTTTGGTGATAATATTTCAGTTATGAAAACTTTGCCAGCTTTACTTCTTTTATTTAAATTTTTGTACAGTTAAAGATGTTAATACAGCTTTTAGTCTTCATTTACTATAAAAAGAAACTATGTGAGATGAGTTTTTCAGCTGAGTTGCAGTAATGACTTGCATTGTTAGACTTTCAAAAGGCATGATGATCAGTTTTGGTATAATGTGCCATGTTGATATGAATGTGTGTAAATGCAGAAAATAACATTCAAGAACTGAATATGTCTTTTGTATGGATTCACTCACACAGCAATTTTGAGATGATTTCTGATCTTGGTTTTTAACTTTATTTAATTCACTGGTAGATCATTTCTGTGGACCCAAGTCCAGCCAAAGTGGCAATGAATGTCCCTGATGCAATGGCAACTAACATCCCAATGTCCCTGCTGACATTCTCTGAGGAGACTGTGGACATCAGTGTGATGAATAAAAAGAAATGGACTAGAGATCAGGTCAGTATGTGGGTAAACAAACACAAAAGAGTTATTTAAAGACAAGTTTTTGAAGTGATGCCAATAAATTCAAACTGAAGTCATTCCATTACAGTAACAGAAAATACATTTATTCAGTGTTTTTCCTCAGATGTTAGTTCTTAGTTCAAGACAAAAAACGACATTATTACATTCTGTGACTCCTTATTAAACCAAGAATAAATGTATTATCAGGTGAATTGAAATTTAAATCATATTTATCGTACCTTTACGTCAAAGTCAAATCCAGGGTTGATATGAGGTCAGCTTTAACAGTTCAAAAACACACAGTGAAAAGCCTACAAGAACTCTTCTCAAGTGTTGCTGTACAGAGCAAGCTTTAGCTGACATTGCTGTGTCTGTTCTTCTAGGCCGCCATGTTTTTCGGGTTTCTGGATAAAACAAGCTTTGACATCGAGCAGTAAGTGAATAAGTGCCATGGCTATTTTATTAACCCAAGGAATATTTTTCAATGCCTATTACATTTCTTTGTGGTTTTTCATTGTCCCCAACAGGCTTTCTCCTTCTGTGCTGCAAGGATTCACGTGCACGTCAGTCCAGAGAATGACAAGAACAAGGATCCAGGGGCTGATCCGTGCCTGTAGGCCAAGGAGAGGCAGGGCTAAGGTGGAGCTGAAGGAATCACAGGTAAATTCTAATACCTGAAACAAAACTTAATAAAATTAGATGACTATGGTCTTTTATCTGAAGTTGATAATTAAGGTACATTGGATGTATAAAACCGTATAAAACCAGAGTCATACAGTTTTAAATATATATGTATGTTGTGTTATATAACAGTTAGTATTATTCTGTGTCTTTGAACAGCTGACATGCATGTACAACCTGCTCAGTGAAAACCTCTCCCAGAACTTCACAGATTATCCCTCAGACATGCTTCTCTACTTCAAGTGAGTCTGTCTCTGAGTATTTTGTTGTACTGATCTCATAGGGTCAGAGCCACTAGCTTATAAAAGTATGTATTTGTTTATTCATTTTCCCATCCTAATGTCCATTTATTACAGCAACAAAGATGTCAAGAAAGCCAACTGCAGGTCCTACCTTTCCAACGTGGGTGCTGCAGACTTCTCTGTGGCCTCCAGCATTCTGAAAAAGGACTCCTTGCTATTCAGTGAAGCCAGGACCTGCTTGGTGAGTGCTATAAAATTGAGGTTTACTACAAAAACCAAAAAATGTTTAATGTTGTGGGTGTAAAGTGAATCACCACTGTATGGCATCAGAGAGTGATAGCATATACTAAGAAATATGTAGATGCACATATAACATTTTATATAGATGCATATATATGCAAAAAAGTGAACAAACAAACTTGTGCTTGAAAAGGAATTTTCTAAATGGTACAAATATATATCACTGGTTTGACTGTGAAGCTACTGTGGCACAATTTTAAATTAAATACTGTTTTTAACTGTCTAGGGTATAAATGGTGTGAACCTGAACAGAGATAACGTGGAAGTGCTGGGGAGCATGGCCTGTACTCTGGACAGCTCTTACATCCAGAACGCTGATCCTCTCATTCTGGAAAAACTCAAAGCCTGCAAGGACTTTTCTGACAGCCAGGTGGCTGCCATGGAGTCACTACTGCTGTCTGGGAAAACACAATACGGGTACAAGAATAAGATCAAATTAGGAACAATTGAGACTGCAATGTTAAAGACAATACTATTCTATATTGTTCTTACTGTCAACAAATCCCATGAAAACGCAGTGTTGGTTTAGGTCTTTTCATAGGATTTGTTGGCAGTAAGAAAAATCTAAGAATAACACCAGCCTTTTCCTTTAACTGTGCTAAATCCAACATTGCATTACCACATTTACTTATTTATTTATTTATTAATTTATTTGGCATCCTATGCCACCAAGTGGGTAGCAAGGTAGTAAGCCAGATTATATGAATATATCATCTTCCAATTTTCAGGAATGTTGCCACCTGGAACCAGCAAACACTGGAAAACCTTGGGATCCTACCTCTGTATTTCACAACAAACATCTGGGGGCAGTTCAGAACTGTATGTTTTACTCTTACCTTGATACTAGTTATTCCAATCATCTTAATTTAATGTTATGAATTTAAAGTACCTTGTAAAAGACATATTGTTTTTGTTGCATGTTTTTTGCAGAAAACAAAGAGAAGGTTCCTTAAGACCTTTATGACCCGACTGAGGAAATCAAAGACAAAGAAGACGAAGCTCAAGGTGCTGTTTAGACAGATCAGCGATCTCAGAATAAAACGAGGAGCAGGTAAAGAAGAAAGGCGGAGAGGCATAGTGTGTTTGTTAAATAGCAGCTGCTAATGATATCATACCAGTCTTACTGTCCATGTGGTCCAAAGTGAACCACTCCTGTGTCTAACTTAACTAACTTTTTTTAACTAATTATTCTCAAGGCTGCACTGTAGGCAACATCACCCAGGTGACAGTGAACGACGGTTCCTTCCCCTTCGGCTACGACCAGACGCAATTTGACCTCTGCCTAGACATCCCTGTTCTGAATGACAACCTCAACTCTATCTGTGAGAAAGTGGATGACGATGACTTTCAGAAAATAATTCTAAAGAAACTCAACCAGGTAATTTTAACATTGATACAAAACATAGTGAGATATGTTTTTATGCAAATGAATGCATATTTTGACACACTACCATGTATTCACATTCACTCTTCCTACAGGCATTCCCACTGGGTGTTTCTGAAAAAGAAGTTCAGGTTCTCAGTTCAGTGTCTCGTGTGGCGTCACTCGATGACATCTCCAAGTGGAGCATCACCAAAATTGAGACCCTGGCAGCACTGATGAATGCTGATGATGGACCATGGGAGGCAGAAAAGGTACAATACAGATGGATTCTCAAAACTACAAATTGTTCTTCTGAAGCTTAAAACAGTCGTGCAATATTATGAACAATAATCGTGCCTGTATACATTTGCCATATAAAGTGTTTTCTTTACTGCTGTTTAGAGTAAAGCAATCATCACCAAGTATCTGAATACTCCTGGGAACTCTCTGGGCAGCACTGAGCTGAACAGTATTGACTCCAACCTGTGCTCATTAGACACCAGTACACTGAAGACCATCACACCAGACAGTATGAGGTAGGTGGGAGCATGTACCTCAAAGTTGCTTAAACATGGCCACTGTGATTGATGATACAGACCCGACACTACATGTTATTTTCTTCTTGTACCTTGCCAGAAATGCCAAACCTTTGGATGTGGCATCATGTTCATCTGAGCAGAAGAGAGTCCTGTATGAGATCAGTAACACTTCCTTCAGCTCACAACGTAGCAGTGCCACCAACTATTACAATTTAATTAAGACCTATCTAGGTAAGAATACATGTTACCTGTCTCTTGCTGTTTCCTTGTCTTTGATAAAGGGCCTCTCTAATTTCCTGTTTTCCTTTCTACTCTGATAGGTGGGGCACCTCGGTCAGATGTAGTAGCACTGTCAACCCAGAACATCAACATGGATGTAGGCACTTTGCGGAGTCTGGATCCTGACGTCATCGCTGTGAGGATACTTGTTATATTGATTGAATATACTGCAACTAAGCAGTAGTTGTAAACACTGCAGTAAATTATAAAGGATTAAAACTCTAAGCTAACCTTTCAAACTCACAAATTAAGCTGTTTTATATCCTTTCTTTAATCAATACAAAAATTTTATTGGGTTAGCTAGTTTCCACTCGTTAAGCTAACCAGCTGCTGACTGTAGACTAAAATTGAACATACAGATATGAGAGTGGTATCAATCTCATCTATCTATTCCATTAATGGTTGTGATGAGCACACATACATCACTGGCAGTTGTGTAAAATACGTTAAAGAGACAATTTACAGTTTACTTTTGTCACAAATCTTGGCTAGTAGTTAGGTCAGGGTTGAGATGACCACAGGCTGCAGGATGATGGCTTATATTAGTATCTCAAAGTACAGTATGTGATCCTCAGTAATTTGGTCATCATTTCTAGTTAACATAGCAGACTGTATGTACTAACAGAGTGAAAAAGAAGTTGAGAAATGTCTGATGCTCTTTATTGTGAGTATAGACCTTTATCACAGCAGCCATTTTGACATGAGATAGTAGGGTAAACACAGGTGTTACCAATGATAATAATTAAGGTTCTGTTCCTTTCAGGTAGAACAGAGTCAGGGTGCATGTTGGCTCAACTAAAATAAATGGAATGGAGCCTTATTGGTATCATTTGTAAAATCTGTGTTGACCCTACCATTGCAAGTTAAAGTGGCTGCTGTGAAAAGGGTCTGTTTGACTGACTGTGCCAACCCTGAGAGAAGGTCAACTAGCTGTCAGTTGCAGAGGTTAAAAGTAATACATTTTAGAAAATCTCCTCACTGTTTAATTTTAAATACACAGAGTTTGACTGTGACCGATGTGAAAAACCTCATGGGTAACCAGCTACAAGATCTGAAGGTGTTTGAGAACGATACCGTGATTCAGGCCTGGAGGAACAGGCAGCTTCAGTCAGACCTGGACCTCCTCAATCTGGGCCTAACCACCAACAGAACTGACCCAGTCACTACATCACCCAGCCCCAACAACAACAGCCCTGCAAAACCAACACAGGGTAAAAATACATACCTTTTGTGTATATTGAGTAACAATAGCTTTATGCCCACACTTTAGCATACAGTATTTATATTCTGTATAGCTAACTGGAAATAGTAATCATTGCAAATTGTTAGATAAGATGTCTGTCTATTTGTATGGCTGTCTGTGTTACATCTAATTTTTGTGTTTTGTGGTATAATTTGAGAACATAAAAATATTTTTGTATCATCCAAAGTTGAGGCCAAAATTCTTGTCCCAACTGTATATCAGGACTGTACTGTACTCAGAACAGATTTATAGACTCTGTGACCAAGTTAACAGGACTTCTTCTTCTTTTTACTATTACTATAGCTGCTGTAAGTGAATTTCCATGGTGTGGGATCAATAATGTCAATCTCAGAAATAAACAAAGAGCGTACTAATGAACTGTAGCTCACACAGACTCCACTCTAAACAGAAAATATCACTTATTGTTGCAGTGAGAGTGTCATTGCTTGTGTTGTGTTAGGGTAAATTGCACCCTGTACTATTTTCAGCCACAAGAGGGCGCAAGTGTGCCATAGTCTGGGTTTATAAACATTTCAGTGAAAAAATTATCAATTTCAAACGATTAAACACCTTGTATGTAAATAGCAGGGCTACCATAACAGGCCAGTACCCTACGAGATTTGGCGTTTGTTGTTAATGCACCATCTGAATTTGCATCCAGTTAATGATATACAACAAAGTGGGTTTTTTTTCTGCTGTGTGTTGACTGATTTTACAATGCAATCAAACTAGTTTGACTAACCATATTTCATCCACAGGAAACCCTAGCGGTTCAAGTGCAACCCTGACCAGTACAGTGACAACACAAGGTGAGCAACTGCACCTTGTATATCAGGACTGTACTGTACTCAGAACAGATTTATAGACTCTGTGACCAAGTTAACAGGACTTCTTCTTCTTTTTACTATTACTATAGCTGCTGTAAGTGAATTTCCATGGTGTGGGATCAATAATGTCAATCTCAGAAATAAACAAAGAGCGTACTAATGAACTGTAGCTCACACAGACTCCACTCTAATCAGAAAATATCACTTATTGTTGCAGTGAGAGTGTCATTGCTTGTGTTGTGTTAGGGTAAATTGCACCCTGTACTATTTTCAGCCACAAGAGGGCGCAAGTGTGCCATAGTCTGGGTTTATAAACATTTCAGTGAAAAAATTATCAATTTCAAACGATTAAACACCTTGTATGTAAATAGCAGGGCTACCATAACAGGCCAGTACCCTACGAGATTTGGCGTTTGTTGTTAATGCACCATCTGAATTTGCATCCAGTTAATGATATACAACAAAGTGGGTTTTTTTTTCTGCTGTGTGTTGACTGATTTTACAATGCAATCAAACTAGTTTGACTAACCATATTTCATCCACAGGAAACCCTAGCGGTTCAAGTGCAACCCTGACCAGTACAGTGACAACACAAGGTGAGCAACTGCACCTTGTATATGAGGACTGTACTGTACTCAGAACAGATTTATAGACTCTGTGACCAAGTTAACAGGACTTCTTCTTCTTTTTACTATTACTATAGCTGCTGTAAGTGAATTTCCATGGTGTGGGATCAATAATGTCAATCTCAGAAATAAACAAAGAGCGTACTAATGAACTGTAGCTCACACAGACTCCACTCTAAACAGAAAATATCACTTATTGTTGCAGTGAGAGTGTCTTTGCTTGTGTTGTGTTAGGGTAAATTGCACCCTGTACTATTTTCAGCCACAAGAGGGCGCAAGTGTGCCATAGTCTGGGTTTATAAACATTTCAGTGAAAAAATTATCAATTTCAAACGATTAAACACCTTGTATGTAAATAGCAGGGCTACCATAACAGGCCAGTACCCTACGAGATTTGGCGTTTGTTGTTAATGCACCATCTGAATTTGCATCCAGTTAATGATATACAACAAAGTGGGTTTTTTTTCTGCTGTGTGTTGACTGATTTTACAATGCAATCAAACTAGTTTGACTAACCATATTTCATCCACAGGAAACCCTAGCGGTTCAAGTGCAACCCTGACCAGTACAGTGACAACACAAGGTGAGCAACTGCAACTAATTTACAGTACCAGTTTACCCACTGTACTCACATGATGTAGTAATGCTTCTAAAAAATAAGATTCTAATTCTAAAAAGGGGGTTGCAAAATATGATGTCATCTATTTATTAACCATGTGCAGTAATGACAAGTACAGTTAAAATTAAACAATTCTGTTTCACTCTAAATGTATGTGTTTGGCTTTGATTTCTAGCTACTACCACAAGTGGGGGAGCAGAGCTTGTAGGACACCCAGCATCCATATTTCTGGCTGCTCTGCTGACAACTGTGCTGCAAATAATGCACCAACCAGCCTAAACACATTTGTGACTTTAGCGATCTAATCAATCATGAGTAATTTCTCACATCTTGAGAGTGAGATTTCTTAATATTATTGTTAATGCTATTTAATCACTTTGCTTAATTTCAACTGCTTAATTTCTGCTTTACGCTGTCTCTTCATGTTGTGAAACTGTTACTGAACAATCATTTAAAATAATATATTTTAAGTGCTGATTTGGGATTTAATCTGGGATTGAAAGTAATTAATAACATTTATGTTTAATCATTAGGAGCAAAAGAATATAGTATATGAAATATAAATATAATAATTCCTCAAATGTATTGTATCATCTATTATCATAATTTACATTGTATTGCTAATTTCTTAAATTAATAAATGCATACTAATAAATATGTGATGTGTTTCTGTGTCTTGGGGCTGATTATAAAGAAATTGAACATATTGTATGCTCTGAATTTTTATTAATTTTAACATCAAAATTGAATGCACACTCCTGAATAGTCTCCAAAGTAGCTGTGTGCATTGAATTATAAAAAACAGAAGTATTGTCTGGCTTATTGTTTGTCTCAGGTGACAAATAAGATTGAGGGTCTGGATAATTCTACTTCTTATATATTTGGAGCAGAAATATCTGATCAAAAGGCAACACATTCCCACTTCAGTTATTTAATCCCTAACTTTTATTTAGAAAATGAACAACACATTTCCAAAGTCATTTATAAGGGATGAAACACACATTCACACACACTATCTTAGATAGATATATCTTTATTCTGTAGTACAAAGTGATTTAAAATAAACCCTTTTCCCAGTTAAAAAAGAAAATGCAATAACCCACTTAAAATGCAGAAGTATCCCATGATCGAGGCTACAGCCATGCCAACATCTGTCTAAGGTAGACACTGTGCTTTGAGCTAAATACAGATGTCACCGTGCTAACATGCTGATATTTAGCTTGTATAATGATAACCATCTTAGTTTCGCCTATTCCCAGCTAACAGTAAAACAGAAAATGCAGTAACTTATACAATGAATGTAAATGAAAGTACATCAGAGAAACATAAGACTTAAAAAGGTACATTGTAATGCCTATTTATCATGGGATAGGTTGAATTTTCATTGTATTTCACAATACATTAACTAGGGGCGTAACAATATGCATTATTAATGATGTGATACAAATTTTGTGTTCTTGATCCAAGTCAGTTTCCAATGCCATGCTCTTAATCAATATTGGTATATATTATAATTTCTATAACATTATTTTTGTTCAGTTCTAAACATAGCATTTGCAACAAATGAAACATTTTTAACCTCAGTTAGAATGACAACACACTCATAAGATCCAGTCCTAAACTGATTTTTGCTCTGGCCATTGTGATTTTAAAAACTGAGAACCTTATGTCTGCTTCCTCGCATTTGTTCTCCTGATCTACTTTGCAGTGGGAAAGAGAGATAGGAAAGAAAACAAGGCGGAATAGGACACCGTTTATTACACCCCTGACATTAGAAAATATAAAAGTAAATGCCCTTTAATTGCTCATTTGCCCATTTGCTGAACAACACATTTTATATTTATTTTCTTTCACATCATCAGCTTCTGTAATTCCAAATTAATCCTGCAGCTCATCTTCTCTATCAGGTTAAGTGTACATCGAAATGTACATCCACTGCAAATTAAGAAGAGATAGATTATTAATGCACTTCAATATATCTGTAGCACTTGTTAAAAGCATAATCAGAGAGAGAACTAAAACTAGTAGAACAAGCATGCGTAACACGATACACGGGGGGGGATGGTATTTGAAACAAGTACAATTGCCAATGAGATATTTTCCTTCCTCTGTTTCAAAGGTAAAAACTTGAACTACCTACAGATTTCCAGACATTTTTAACACCTCTGAATAAGTTTTCTTACCTCTGATTCTTGAAGAGTCATGGTCATGCCATCAGTCAACTGTCTGAAGATTTCTATTGACAAAGACACAAATTCTTATTACGCTAGAAACTGTGGAGGAAAGCAGTGGGCGACAGATATGTCTGCCGCAAGCAGTGACATTAATTCAAAATGTGACTCGTCATTATTGTATTTTTGTATTTTGACCAGATAATGGATGCTTGATGAAAAATCAGACTGTCACCAAAGTGACTGCAATTCATCTGTAGGCGAAAATGAATGTGAGCGTGCCACATGTTATGGAAAACCATCCAAAAGTTGTTGAGAAATTTCACTCAAAACCATAAATGTGGACCTTGTGGTGGCAGTCAAGAAAAATACTTTTGTAATGCTACATCCTCTCACTTCGTACAGTCTGAACACCAACATGCACCTGTTTCCTCCCTAAATACAGAGAAGACACTGTTTTACCATTAGGGGTCCCACAAGTGTTTACATCAAGTGTAGCAGAGATTCATTCATGACAACTTTTTTATCTCTTTCAGTAAAAAAAAATTGAAATGTGTATTCCAAAGGAAGAGAAAAAAAATTTTGCTGGTCACAGAGAAAGGAGACACAAACTCCAAACCAAGAATACAATTTCAAGAATAGTATGTACTTAAGTAATGTTATGTATGTAATGTAACTACTGTTATCAGCCATCCAAACTGACTTACGGTTCATGCAGTCGAAGCGAAGAACCAGACTGATGAAGCTCTCCAGTGTAATGACTCCAGAGGAGGAACCGTAGCGTAGAGCCATCAGATTCAGCATGTCATCACTGATCCTCATTCCTGACCAACAGGTCAAAAGATTAGATGTGATTTCTTTTAGGTATGCAACTAACTATTGTTTTCATTGTTGATTAATCTGTAGATTATTTTTATTTCACACACTGACAGTCACACTGTCATGGTTTACTAGAATATGTCCTACTATGGCAAGTCAAAGTGTCTGCTGTGAAGGGTTGTGTGTATGGTTGTGCTTGGACTCCCTGTGTTTAAGTACAAAGTGGCTGGAAACTGTTTAAGTACTTAGATGTTCATCAACAATGTGTAATCTCTTAAAATACATTTGTCAAACATAAGAGGATTGACATTACACAATTGACAGCTCAAGAGTATTTATATTGTTTACACGCAAACATGCTGTACTATAATAACTCCTTAGGAATTGGAAGATGTGGAGGGTTAGGGGGGTTGGACCAAATTGTGGTAACATTCGTTGCACAATCCCAGCCATTTCTTGGTGCTTGCTTAATCTTGTCTACTGCAGAAAAGACTTTTCATAAAAGAAGCAAAGAGTGGGGATAATTCCCAAATATGAATACAGATTTCTGTGGCAGAACTTTGATCTTCCTATACTCCATTAGATGATTAATGGAGTGCAATGCCTTATATTTATCTTGTTATCCTTTACTTATGTACAAGTTTGAATGCACAGCAATGTTGCATACTATATATATATATATATATAATGTACACTTCACAACCAGTGTGTGTATATTATATATCTGGCAGCTTGTTCCATAGCACTGTATGCATCAAAACCTTTAATCCTAAAGCAAAAATGTACGAACAGTTGGCAAGATTATGTATTTTCTGTTGCTGTGTCATTAAATTTAAAATAAGAGGGGTGAATCCCAGGATGATTCAGTTATGTCTATAGTAGACAAAAAGAAGTGGTTGGTTGTCTACCTGAAGCCATGATTGCGTTCCTGAGCTCTTTCAGTGACAGTGTTCCTGTATGCGAAACATCGGTGCGGAAGAAAATGTCCTGGTTAAAGAGAAGACAGTTCATGTGAATCTCTGAGCTAAGTACAGCAAGGACATCCAAACCCTGATCTGTAAAATCTTTCTGATCTAAATCAGGATGAACTCTCTAACTCTACATTCAATTCTGTAATTATAAAGGAGACAGCATCTTTGTTTGTTGTGACATGTTTAACCTTTACTTAGTTCCTTTACCTTGTATGTCTGAATCTTCTTCCACAGGCGAATAAATTCCTCACCATTAAGTCGGCCGGTGATTGAGGTCTAGCCCAACATTAAGGTATTAAGGTAGCACATGTTGTGTCATGTCTTAGCCTGACCTTTAAATATATTTGTGTGTGAAACTGTAAAAAGGGCAGGCAGGTTTTGGCATGTACACGGGTTGTATGTACCAACATTTACTTTGAGAAATTCCCTAAAAGGCACAGTAGCAGCCGAGATGAAGAAAAGGGGTTTGAAAACATACAGTTTTTAGTACACCACTTCACAATGACTATCACAAGAGGATACGTCCATCAGAGCAACCATGCTGCGACAGGCATCAATAGTGAAGCCTCCAGATTTCAAGTCTCCTAAATAAAAACAGAAGAACAAGAAAAAAAGCATGACAGGATCATTTGGCCAAAACAGTGCAACATAGCAGTGCTACACAAGATCAGTATATATATTTTTCTATTTGGCAAATATGCTGTTAAGTCTATTGGAGTTGTACAGTCCAAACCTTTTAGGATTCTGTCATTTAGAATGCCCTGGAGCTCCTCTGCACCCACTTCTTCATACTTGAGATGGAATGAAAAGGAAAAACTTGGCTCACATAGTGGTTCTCATAATCACGGTTGTATTGAGGGGAAATAATGCATGCTACAGGTTTCAATGGGTTTCACAGAAATCACATGTAGGTGCAGTTGTTTCTATGCCATTTAAAATTCCTGATCCAACAGAGCAGAAGAAAAGACTAAAAGCAGCAAAAAGAATAATCATATCGTTCAGGCAGAATATACCGCACAGACATGTACTGTACACAATGTTTCGATATCAAAAAAATATTCAAAATCCATTATATTTTAATTAAAAGAATAGTTCAAATTTGCTTATTTGCATTCTAGCTGAGTGTTAGATGAGAGGATAGTGATACCACTCTCATAGAAGTATGCTATTAAGCTACGGCATGCAGGAGGTTAGTTTAGCTAAGCACAAAGACTGGGAGCAGGAGAAAACAGCTAGCCCTGCTCTTTCAAATGAGGTAACAAAATCTGTCTACCAGCACCTGTTAAACATGTTATGTCTTGTCTGTTTAATCTGTACAAAACCAAGGGGGAAGACAATAATTCTCTGTTTTGCTGGGGGTTGTGTGGCTGACTATTTCCTGGCGGAGATCAGTAACTTACAGGAGTCTATGCTTGTGGACACTGCAGCAAAGCAAATGTTTTCCAAAATGTTGACCTATTGCTTTAATGTTGGGTTCAGACAACACAAATATGTCTTTTGTCTGTCTGTTTGTCACTGTGTCAGATTTGGCGATAGAGTAATAAATTCTTGACACATTGCACGTTGGCCCCTGACCGATCACAGCTTGCCATCTTTCATGACCTGCATTGATGTCATCAGGAAGGAGGTGATAGGGGACGAATTTTGGGAATAACAATGTAAACAAGCAAGGGCTTCCAAAGTGGTTTGTATATTTATCTTTCCTCCTCTAACAGTGCTACCTAACAGCAACAACATCATTCCTCTTTTGTTTCACCATGTTCGTGGAAGTTGGACAATGTCACAGAAAACATTGCGGAATGTGTCATAATTTTACTTTAATTTTGATACACTACACAGGATAAAACACTCAACTGACCCGTCCAACATCCATTTTTGTTTGTCACACTCTAAATTTGTTGAGCCGTGCTATTATCAGGCTGATATTGTATAGTCTGAAACTAGCATAAGACACACAAATTACCTGGTCAGAGTACTGGCGGAAGAAGTTTTTCTTGTTTTCGTCGTCCTCTACATTTTGGACTGGTGAGGGCTGCAAAAGATTGAGTGCTTTCAGCTCCAAATGAATTAATGCACTGGGCAATATGTATGTGTTATATGGTATGAATGTAATCAACATAGCAAATAACATGTAACACAACAGCAATACCACAATTAACAATATATTTTAACACTTTGCACACCTGTTCTGTTTCCACATGTTCATGGTCATGGTCATGGCCACCAGAATTCTCACTGAGAGGAAAGACAAAAGACATCAGTATATTACTTGCGGCCAATGTTTAGCAGCAGCGCAGGATTACAGTATTTTCATTACATTGGTCAGTAACGAGTAGTGTGAGTGACTAACTGGACGTGGGTCTCTGCCTTGGACAGGATGGTCAGGATGAAGGAGGCTGTCTCATTGGAATTGAAGGTGGACGGCACAATCAGGTATTCACCAGGCTTCAGCATTGTGAATGCCATCACCTCACGTGCATCCAGGTAGGTTTTAGTTTGGGCAACAGGACTGTTTCTGCTGAAGAAAGAGGCTGGGAACTTCCCCCTCTGTCCCGCGTACTGTAATACCAATAATGAATAGATGTTTCAATTCTATGCAGTTCTCTCCATAGCAGCACAGTGTAGGTGATATACTGTGTATTGGGCTAAAAATTTTACTTACTTCTTCAGACACCTTGGAAGAAATCCGAGGAAGATGAGTTCATGTTAGGGACAAAACAAAATTAGTTCAAGTAAAATCATAACATTTTTCAACAGCTACTTCCTCATGTCTATGCGTTACACATATCTATAAGTCCACACACTGTGACAGAAACAATAAAAAGCTATTTTCACCTCAAACACAGAGAATCCAATGTGGAGATTTTTGACCAGGCGTCTGTTCCTCTTGTCAGGTTTTTGCATGAGAGACACCAGCATGTTATTTTCCCCCTGTTCTGCAGAACAGTCACTGAGTAATTTTTCAATCTTGACTCGATACTGTGGATTAGTCCAGAAGGTCTCTGGTAAGAAAAGACGCAAACACATTTTGCATTGTACCATTTTGCCAAGAGAAGTGTGAATCTGAAGAATGATAAAGACAATCGTGCAGCCAGTTCTTCATCCAGGGAAATTGTGCTTTCTTTGTTATGGAGCCTGGTGTATGCACTGGATAATATATAGACTTTTAAAAAGATCATCAATTGATGTCATTAAAAAAAAACAACAATAAAATATATATAATTGATCCATTCAATTTGAATTTAATGAAAAATGTAATTTAATAAGAAAATTAATAGTCCCATTCCTTATTCCTTCTTAACTGAAGAATTAGTAATTAATCTTAAAATGGAATTACAAAATGTGTCAAATTTAAAAGTGTCAAACTTTACAAATATAAAATAAAGTTAAGGTAGTTAAGTTACTTTGAAAAACTTGGATTGTGTGTTTAGGGAGGAAGGGCTATTGATACATTTATAAAACTATTATACATTTTTAATTCAATTTGCATTTAAATAATGCACGGATAATTTAAAAAAAATCGAATTGCCATCCTTCAGTTTTTTATGGCTTAGTACTTTTGAGGCGATAAGTTTGTATACCGAGGTTATTCATGCATCCTCCAGCAGTGGTTCCTGCAACCCATCTGCCCTCATAGAAGGAGGCCTTCCAGTGGCAAGAAGTGCTTCCATCAAGGAAGTCGGGGCACAGGCAGCAGATGTCGAGATCTGAGTAGAACCTACAGAAGTCTTCCAGTGTCATCCTGTTGACATCAGAGATAAATTTAGATAACACATTGCTATTTTAGCCTAAGAGTCACACAAGAAAAAATTGTTATTCTGAATCAATCAGTAGGGGTAAGACATGCAAATCTAAAATACAAATTAGCTATAAGTAATACTATGAACATAAAAATATTATATAATCAGTTATGATCAGGGGTGTAACAAAATATAAAAATGATACTGTATCGATTCTCAAAAAACGTATAAATTTTCGGAAACTGCGGGCTACTATGCAAATTTTAGGGGGGTGTTATTTGTACTATGACATGACAGTTTTTCTAAAATTAGATTAAAAAAAGAGATCGCAATATCAAATTGCTCACAGTATCGCAATATATTGCAATTTATTATATCATGACCCCTGTATCATGATACGTATCATATCACCAGTGTTTATTTTCTTTTCAGCAGCCAAAGATTTTTCTAAAACAAATATAAATGTAAATATTCAGTGATTTTTTTTCTTTTGTAGTTGCTACTCTGTATTTGTATTAAATTGTCAAAACATTTTGCATTCAGAAGTTTTTTAAATTACTGTAACATTTATCAAATTTTGATTTCAACATGCTTACCAAAACTCCCCATCTTCATGCACGGAGAGGCACATCAGACGATCTTCAGGACTTACAGTTTGCCAAAGAGGCGACCTTTGGATACAATTTGTAGTAAAAAAAAGAGGAGAACCAACATTGTTATAATAATAATTTTAACATTAAAAGGCAAGTTACAGCACTTTTCATATAACTAAAATGATCTGTGTGCTTTTTCAAGTATAATCTCCTCAGATATATATGGTTTTATTTCTGCATGACACACTAAAAGACTCTGAGATCTCTCTAGCTGTCTTATTGTCTTGACATTTTTCACAAACTGGTTTTGGCAGTTTTCAGTCTAACCAAGTACACTGTGTTTGACAGCAAATGTAGCATGTTGACATTTACCTTCAAAGCCACCACACTTCGCTAAGATTTGCACTTGTTCATCTGGTCAAAAACAACCAGCCACACCTGTTTGCTCTTGGCCCTGAGAGGTCACAGTGAATAATCTGACTCTTATGCTAAAGAAAGCTGAGGCAATGGGGCACATTTCCAGGCCACAAACCACAAATGTCATCTGTCAATGAGTAGTCTTTGCTTTTGAAACAAAGTTTTTCACTACATAGAAAATAAAACATGGTTGGTTCCTCAAAAGTGGACACAAGTTCAGGGCCAAGAGTGTACAGTTACGGCAGGTTGTTTGCCAAAGTGCAAATCCTGGCAAAGTGAGGCAATTTTGTAGGAAAAGTAAACATGGTGCATTTTCCAAAACCAGTTTGCAAGCAACATCAAGACAATGAGACAGCTCGAGACTTCTCAGTCCTCTGTTAAAAAAAAAATTCTTAGGGCATATGTAACTGAGGAGATTATACTTCAAAAAGCACACAGAGCATTTTTCCTCGACACAAGTTATGTTAACACTGACATCATGAACTATCTTGTCTGCTGCTTAAGAATTGAGTAAGGTTTAGGCAAGTCATAATTTGGTTAAGGTTAAGACACTAAGAAACGTTGTTGTTCATTTAGCTAAAGTAAAAAGCAATGCAGTTGTGCTAGCATAGACTGACATACACTCATAAATGAACAACCAGCCACACCTGCGCGCTCTTGGCCCTGAGCTTGTGCCCAAATAGACAAGAGGTCACAGTGAATAATCTGACTCTTTTGCCAGATAAAGTTGAGGCAATGGGGCACACTGCAGGCAACAAACCATGAATACCGTCTGTTAAATTAATGTGACAGGAGAAGTCTTTGCTTTTTGAGTTTTCCTCTTTCTATTTCTCTAGCAGTTGACATTTAGGACATGTCAAAACATAGTCTAACTTGTTTCACTGTTGTTTCACTGATGTTTCACTGATGTTTTCACTGATGTTTTACTGGCACAACTAGTTTAGAATAATGAGGTTAGTACTGTAGGACAACCTTAGAAAGGATTCTCATGGCTCTGTTCCAAATACCCTAATTATTTTGCAAACCACTGTAGAGACTCATAAAGAATATGAAGCAGACACAAATTGTACTCGACAATAAATACAACTGCAATGTATTATTTTTTCATTGGAAAATAATCTCAAAGTTTTATCTCCTGAGGCAGTAAATCAGAGCGATTTCTTCTAAGTTTAGGTCACTTTACTTGTACCTGTAGGTAGATATAGTTTGCTGTAGATACACAAGTCACTTGACCATCTTGACACAAATTTTACAAACATTACCCATCACTCCAGTCTCCTTTCCACTCTCCTTGGCCCCAGGGGTTCCACAAACGCACCATGTTTACTGGCTGCCCTTTGCTCATCATCTGACCAACAATTACCAGAGAATATAAATTGCTATTAGCCATAAAAACATATATATATATATATATAAACTACAGTTTACTATATACTTACTGTACTATATACTATCAATTAACTGAATCTGTGTCAAGCTTTGGTAGGAGCTAAGAACTTGACTGCTAGCTGTTGGTAATATAACTTTAATTAGCACTGAATTGTTGTCTTTAAAACAAATGCAATCCTTCACCTGTTTCACACCCGTGACAGTGTAGGCATGGCCTTGGACCAGTCCATTTGGAAGTACAGTGTTGGCAGATGTTTCCTACAAGATACAGATACTGTATATGTTAGCATTGCAGGTAGTCTTGTGCAACATGTTTTATTTGATTGCATAATAAATTAAGAAGTTTCCAACTCGCAGAAACAAAACCCCAAAGCATTGTTTAGTACTCCCAAAATATTCTTATGATAGGTATATGAGATACATTCTATAAGCAAGGCACTTTGGATCCTTTCATTTATCTATGTACAAATACATGTTCCTTGGTCATTGTGCTGTATTGAAACATGAATTTTAATTGAAGTATTTATACTATGACCTGCAATGGCATTCATCTCTGCTTTATAACAAACGAGATTTGAAGAGATGTCAATTAATAATACTAATATTTACTTAGAGATACAAAAGCTCATGGGTCTGTAGCTTTCAGGCATGTTTAGTATTAAGCATGTAATCTACATACTCAGCTCTGATTTGGCAGTTGACAGGATACTAATGCATATTAAAGTAGTTTATTTTCCGGAATGCATATGTTTCAACACGTCATTTTTCTTTTTTAAGTCACAGTATAGCCAATTAAATTAATATTCCAAAATATGTGGAAGCTATTAAATGCTGTGATCACTTTTTGCAGAATTTTGTTTGTCTTTTCCTTGACAAAGATTGGTCAAGTAGAAAACAACTATGCTCTTCTATTACCTGTGGAAAAAAACAATTACTATTGCCTGTCACTCTGGGAGCATCCAAGAAACTTTGCATATAGCTGAAATATTCACATGGTGAGTGTGTCATGCCCCTGAGCCTTGTCAGCCTGAGAACCATGTATGAACAGATTTATTGACACACCTCATATAAATGGAACCATGCCATCATAATCTGCTTCCTGCTATGACAAGTGAAAATGTTGGCTGCTTGAAAGGTCTATTATTATATCCGACATCCATCTATCAAATACCAAAGAATGTTGCTCAAAAACATATCTTTAACATGTTTTTAATTATTTTTTCAAATCTCATACTAAGATCATCTTTGTAACTACCAGCTAAGATAATCTTAGCCTTAAGATGCTTTAATAAAAAAGGCCCATGGTCTTTTGGATAGACAGTAACCCGGCAGAGTGTCAGCACAGTTCATTAAAAGCAAAAAGAAGTGGGGTTTTGTGTTGTATATTAATACCTACCCCTTGTGGTGTACCACAACCCATTAATGACTTGGATTGGCCTGCTCTGAGCATCAGTTCCCACAGGTTTGGAGGAGGGTCTGACAGCTCGATACACATGTGAACACCACCAGTGAAGTCCACCAAAGCCTCGGCAGGAGTTCCAGCATTCATGTCCGCGTAGGAACCACACACCCTGACACAAATGGGTGGGAAATTACTTGCACAGAAATAAGGCAAATCTCACTTGAGAATATGCATTTTATGACTGAGAAACAATACTTGGCATAGGCTTTCTCCAGCAAAGCAGGCCAGAACTCAGTTGGGTCTTTGGAGTGAACAAAGATTAGTCTGCCATTGATTGTTGGTAGCTTGTCATCTATGACGACATCCACCCAGCTTCCAAATCTCCAGAACTGAGTTGTTGAGAAAGGACAGAATAGGAAGACTTTTATAGCAAAATTAGATATGTATCATTTAGCAGAACTGACTTTTAGACAAATACTGTTGGCATTGGTTGTAGTTTTACCCTGAAGTGGAACAGTCCGCAGTAGTCCTCATCAAATTTTTGCTCAAGAGGGACAACTTGCTCAAGAATGTAATTCTGGAATGTCAGAGCTCCAATAGACGCAAGAAACCAGCAGTTTCCTGAGAAAACAATGTTTATTGAGTTGTCAGAAAGGTAGTGATGGGCGGATTAAGCCCTATGAAGCTTTGGGACTTTGGCACAGGGACATCTGGTAGATCGCCTTATGGGCCTATCATATAGATTGGCTGTAAAATGAAGTTACTTCTAAAGTAGCAGTAGCATCTGAAACCTCAGACAACATCAACAGTCACATGGTATTATTCAGTAAAACAAGCTAAGGAGCTTTGTATCAACCCTCCATCTCTACAGAAATATGTACTAATCAGGCAAAGGCATACAGTAGTATAGTAATGGGTGCACAGAAGGGTTTCCAGATTACAAACTACAGAAAATACGAACACCAACCGAGAGGGCAGAAAACATATTGGTACAATATCTTCTGACGTGTTGCTCTCTGTCCTACTTTTGTCTCTCTGTAGTTGCCAAAATGGCTGGAAAACCAATTTAAGGATTATTATGAATAAAGCAATTTTCATACCAATTACGCCTTGACCAAAGTCAAACCTGGAGACTCCATCAACAGCAAAAGATGGAATGGGAACAATTTTCTGAAACAGAGGAATTGTTGACAGCACAAAGTTGTTATAGGTTTAATATTCACTGTCAGATAACAGTTACATACATATAATATATAACGGCCTGCTTAGTAGGTTTGTCTCCATTATCCTTAGAAATAAATATAAAAAACTAAATTTTTATATCACATATATAACATTGTGATTATGTGATCACATTTGCAGTTTCCAACCACTAAAACACTCACCCCTGGTCTCAGCCACACCACTTGGGCCAGGTGATTGGGGCTCAGTACTCCTTCGCCGATAGATCTTCTGTCAGGGGGGAACATCTCGTCGATGTACCTTACCCGCTTGATGAGACAGTACTGTTTCAGCTGCTGAAAGTCTTGGTTGAGGAACTTCTTAGGGTTGGCGACATTCCCAGAACCATCTTTAATGTGACGTGCATTAATGATGTTCATACACACACCCGGTGGAGGCATTGCTGCAGTGTTTGAACTCTGTTCAGAAAATATAAATCAAAATAAATTTTCTTTTCGGATTCTAGAAAATACGACAGACTGTAGACTAGGTATACATATCAACCTTCATGAGTACACGTTTAATCTCCTACACAGCATTACTCCCCTTTTATATGCATGGACACATGCTAAACACACATGTTAAACCCAAAGAAGCTACAGCCTAAGATCTGTATTAGAATTGCAGGGCCTCTGGAATGCACTCTTGAACTTGAACACAGAAACAGGTATATATAATTAAGTAATATACTATATAGTAAATATGTATTACATTAATTTGGTAATAAATAAGAGGCAGTGCAAAATAAAACAATGCCGTAAAAAGGGCATTAATAAGGTGTGTGGCTGTTATAGCCCATTTTTTGAGAATAAAGTACTATTTTCCTCAATATGCCTGTTTGCTGTCCTTCTCTACACAACTTTATTCTGCCGTTTGGGAGTAAAACAAGATTTTAAAACAAGTGTTAGTCAGTGTGCAAATTGGTTCTTCTTAACCTCAAATAGTATGTTATATAATAACCTACTGTCCATGTTTAGGTATTATCTTTATTAGACAAAAACCTGTTTGCTTTTATCCTATAGGCCCCAGGCCATTCCCAGCCCTCAAACCCCTTCTCTTGTGCCTGTGGCATGAAAAAATAATATAATATGGCCCGCAAAATTATTATTTTTTGCTACTCCTTCATATACAAAAGTAAAGTATAAACACAATACTGTTTTTAATAGTAGTAATATTGTGCTTTCTTGTAGTACTTGAATACTGGTGTGGCCCTCCTAAGAGATGAACATATCAGCAGTGGCCTCAAGCCACTTTGAGTTTGAGAGCCCTGCTCAGCTCTACGCATTTCAATTCCGCCTTTTAGAAAGCGCCAAAGAGAAGAAATCTTCACATGAGTCAGTGAGCATAGCTGTGGTTAGTGTGAGCAATTTCAGGGTTCATAGATCCTGTTGAGCACAGTAAATTGGGCAAAATGGCCTATTAACACACACAAAAAAATTAACTAACAAAAAAAACTGCTGACAAAACGGAGATATCAAAGTGGCTGAATATCTGCAACATGTGCAATAATCTCCAGCTAATCGGCCAATGCTGCAGGGAGCACACAGATAACAGGCAAAATGAATGTTCCCCTTTACCGATTAGCATAAGTGCAGTGGCCTTTACACTTCTATATCACATTCTTCAGGACAGTGCATTTACTTCCACTCATACACATTATTGCAATAAACATTTCAGTGGAACTGCTCTAACTGACTGACAGCTGTCTTGTGCGCAGAGTCACAGTGTTGATGCTGCGTGATATTTAAATTGTGTTCAAGGACATGACAGCCCATAAAAGCAGTAACTTTAGATAGTCCTGAGTAATAAACTAATATCCAACAAGGATTAATTTTCTGAAAGTAAACCTTCAGTAGCTATTAGGGCTGGGCGATATGTCTATGATAAATCGTGTTTAATAAAATCGATTTATCGCCCAGCCCTAATAGCTATAATAACTAGGGAATAAAACAGTTTGTCAGTTATGTTCACAGAGTATTTAAGTTACCTCTCTCTCTCTGGAACTGCAAACCTTGAGTTTCTCTCACCTCAGGATTTACAAACAGTGTGAACAACACTGAACACAGTCTTCCCAGTGGCTCTACTCATGCTCAGAGGGTTCGGTAAATTGGAAGCTGACTGGTGCGTTCACGGACAATCCGTGAAAAGTGCTGCAACATTGTAAGGCATGTGTGTGAGTGTCGAAGTCTGTAACCCCGTTGAGATGTGTTTCCTTTTACCTTAAATCTAGCCCAACCTCATCCTAATTTCTTTCTTTCCTCATTTAAATGTATCAAACGTAACAACATTGATTGTTCAACAGAAATTGGAGCTATGACAACAATGTAAGTTGCTAAACTGTAAGTTTAAGTGTCAATTGACCATTTATGTTATGTTATGTCATGTTATGTTATGTTATGTTATGTTATGTTATGTTACTTGCATATGAAGAGCTTAGACTTACCTAACCAGCCAGAGAGAGAGTCAGAGTGTTTGGGTGGATCATCAAGTGTGAAAGAAGAATCTCAAGTCCTTGCTGTACTAGCCTATCTGCAAATGCCAGAGGCTACTGGTGATCAGCATGGTGTAGTTCTTTTTATGTTTATTTTTTGAATGCGGCATGAGGGCCTCAAGGCCAAGCTCAGTAAGTGCTCATTCTTTCGTAAAGAGGTGAATTATTTGGGCCATGTGATTTCGGCCGACGGTGTCTCCACAGATCCAGGCAAGATTGACGTGGTTGCCAATTGGCCGATTCCTACCACTGCCTCAGAGCTTCGTTCCTTTCTTGGTTTTGCCAGTTACTATCGGCGCTTCGTGGAAGGATTTGCCAAACTGGCAGCTCCTCTGCATAGGGTGGTGGCGAATGTGGTGGCACTAAGACCAATAAGAAGACTGAGCAGCGGCTGTCTAGGTGTTGGGATGATGAGTGTAACCAGAGCTTTGAAACACTGAAAGCTAAGCTCACCATGGCACCAGTGTTGGCTTATGCAGACTTTTCTCTTCCCTTCATCTTGGAAGTTGATGCAAGCTATGGTGGCTTGGGTGCAGTCCTTTCCCAGGCTCAGGCAGGCAAGGTGAGGCCTATAGCCTACGCTAGCAGGGGCCTGCGACCCACCGAGAGGAACATGGTAAATTACAGCTCCATGAAACTCGAGTTTTTGGCCCTTAAGTGGGCCATGACGGAGAAATTTCGAGAGTACTTGTTGGGTAACAAATGTGTGGTGTACACTGATAACAACCCCCTTAGTCATTTGTCTTCGGCTAAGCTGGCTGCTACTGAGCAGAGGTGGGCCGCCCAGTTAGCTTCTTTTTGACTTCGAGATAAAGTACCGTTCAGGGAAGAGCAACACTAACGCAGATGCTCTCTCACGTCAGCATCCACCTGGTCCCCAGGATGTCGCTGCGATGCTTCCAGGCACTGCGATGCCCAATTCTTTGCAGCAAGCTCTGGGGTTGGGAAAGGCAGAGGCGACCCAGGCTGCCACTGCCGCCTTGCCCCAGCACACTTGTTCTGAACTCCATCTCGCTCAGCAGTCTGACCCTGTGATACAGGAACTGTTGCCTTTTTGGAGGGAGAACCAGCGTCCCAGTGGTGAGGAGCGGGCACGGCTCTCGCAGCCCACGCTGGTCTTGCTCAGGCAGTGGGATCGCCTACTGGAGAGGGACGGTGTCCTGTACCGAAGGGTGTGTCGTCCTGATGGAGCCGAAGCCATGTTTCAGTTGTTGTTGCCAAAAGCATGGGTAGATCAGGTTCTGACCCAGGTGCACCAGGAGCATGGTCACCAGGGGGTGGAGCGAACATTGGCGTTCCTTCGGTCCCGATGCTACTGGCCTGGTATGTCTTCCGAGGTGGCTCAATGGTGTCAGAGATGTGAGCGGTGTCAAGTGGCCAAAGATGTGCATCCAAAAGCACATAGCTTCATGGGGCATCTCTTGGCTTCCCGCCCTAATGAAATCCTTGCCATCGATTACACGACTCTAGAACCAGCCCAGAATGGTTTAGAGAATGTTTTGGTGCTTACAGATGTTTTTAGTAAGTACACTGTGGCTATCCCTACTCGGGATCAGCGTGCTGCTACTGTGGCCAGGGTTTTGGTGTCGGAGTGGTTTTATAAGTTTGGCGTCCCTGCTCGTTTGCATTCTGACCAGGGCCGTAACTTTGAAAGCACTCTCATTCAGCAGTTGTGTGACCTGTATGGGATTGTAAAATCACGCACTACCCCATACCATCCGGAAGGAAATGGTCAGTGCGAGCGTTTTAACCGGACGCCCCCCAACTTTTTCTGCCTCCCTAGCCACCCCCCAGGAGAAAGGGAAGTGTGTTGGGCCTCGGTTTTAGTTTTGTTATAAAAAAAACCACCCCCCACCCAAAAAAACAACCCTTTCCCTTTTTTTGGGGGTGGGGCCGGAACCCCCCCTGGACTTTCATTTGTTGTTGGGTGGAGTCCAGATTGTTGGTGGTTTCACCCATAAGTAGAGTGGAGAACAACCCCCCCCCCAGTAGCAAGTAAAATAATGAAAGAGGGAGCCCAAAAAACCTGCCGAACAGCGGGCGGAAAGCCGGTAACCAACTCCAAAATTTAGAATTTAAAAAATGCCAAAGCAGGAAGGTTGGTTTGTTTAATTACATGATTAACAAAAAAAGGGCCCCCAAGAGGAGACCGTGAGAATGAGTAAGGTTAGGGATTGAGAATAAAAAAAACCGCGGGGGGCTATGTCTATTACCAAAAGACAAAAAAACAAAAAAACAAAAACACCCCACGCCACAGGAAGAGGCTTATAGTGTTGGTAAAACTGGCCAATCCTGCTCCTTCCCACTAATCAACCCCCTGCAAGCAACCAACCAAAACAACCAGCCCTTCATTAATATTTTTATTTTTTTTTGATAAAACAAAAAAAATAAACTTCTTGGCCCCCCCCCCCCACCACCCCCCCCACTACAGCTTTCGCTCAAGCGCCTGCAGCAAAAAAAAAAAAAAAAAACTCTTCCCCTCTCCCCCTTGTTTCCTGTAACAAAAAAAACGCCCCCCCCCCCCCCAACACGACGGCCGGCAGTTAAAAAATAAAAATAATCTACCCCCCCCCGGAGAGCTGAGTTGCCCGTCCTCCTTCTTCTTCTGTCTTCAACCTAATTACCTCCCTTTTTTTGACCTGGTAGTTGGTTGGTTTTACTACCTTCCCTTTTTTTATGTTGGGGAGACACAAAAAAAAGGGGAGGGAGAAGGTTAAAGCAAAAAAAAAGGGCGGTCATGGGGAGTTAATTAAAACAACCCCACAACCGGGGGGGCGGGCAAAAAAAACCCCCCCCCCCCCCCCTCCCCCCCCACCACCCCCTCACAGGCGCTTGCCTGGGCAGGCAATTCAAAATACCCGCCACCCCCCTGCCCCCTCTTTCCTCTTTTCTTTTTTTTAATGTCTCCTTGTTTCCACCTGCTTTTATTTCACGAAAAACAACCACAGAGCGGCCCACGGTCCTTTTACCCCCTGTTCCACTCTGGGCTTCGTTCTCGGGGGTGTCTGTGCGCCCTCTCTCTCCTCAACCACAAATGAAACTAAAGCTAAAATGCACGCAGGTAGAAGTCGGCCGGCGTCGCCGCCCCTCTCCCCCCCCCCCCCCCCCCCCCCGGCCCTGGTTAAAAAAAAAAAAACCTTAAAAAAAACAAAAAAAACCTTTAAAAAATTTAGTTTAGTTTGGTTAATGGTATTTATATTTAATAAGAATGCTCGTAAACAGGGCGAAAACCACCAGGGGACAATTGCCGGCCCTGCTCCCCCCCCCCCCCCCCCCACGCCGGCTGCTCTGGCCCTTGTTTTTTTCCTTTTTTTTTTTGCTTTTTTCTCCCTTTTGTTTGTTTTTTCTGTTTCTTTTGTCTATAATTTATTTTACTTTTTTTTTTTCCCCCCCTTTTTTTCCTTCTGCCGTTAAACACACGGTTGCTGTGTTTATACCGCTTTGTCGACTATATGTCTGCTGTTGTGCCCCTACTGCTAGCTGCATAGCTGTGTCTCTGCTGCTGTATGTGACATTGTCCCCTGCTTTGCCTCTGCAGTCACTTATTCCTTGCTGCCGTGTTCTGCGGCTCTGGCTGCTTGGTGGCTTCTGGCTACAGCCGGCTTGCATGGTGAACTGCAGACACCATACTTTTAATCTGTTTATCTCTTTTTATTTTAGCTGAACGATGGTGAGGAGTTAATCCCTTATTTTTGTATTACTTGTTTTGTTTATTGTTTTGATTAACTAGCTTGGTAAGCTTAATTGGTTAACTATTTCCTGCTTTATGTTGTATATTGTTTTTATTATATTATTTATGTTTTGTGTTAAATACTTCCATTGTAACTTTTGTTTTCCCTTCTCAGTGGCTGCAGGCTGGTGGTGGTGTTGGTGACGTGGGTGGTGGTGTCCCTCCTTCTTGTGTGCTGTGCTTCCTTGGATTTGGTGATACCACAGTGTGTGACTGCCACGTGTGTCTGGGTGAACCCTTTTTCTTTAATTTAATTTTGTTGAGTCCCCTTCCCCTTCACCTGCTCTTTCCCCACCAGTAGGCCTCAGCCCCTGATTAGGCTCCCTTTTTCATTTATTGGGATGAATGCTATTTTTTTATAATGATATATATATTTATTAAATAAAGTATTTTTGTAAACTGGGAACCACGTGTCTTGCCTGTCGAGTGGAACGAACCTGTGTTTTTGGTCAGTGTAAAATAATTCCTTGGGTGCAATTCCCAAGGTGGCGTTGTCGTTAACACCAACTAATACTCATAGAGAAATCATTTTTTTTTTTTCCCCCCCCCCACCAACAACAAAATTTTTTCTTCATACATTAAGGTATTACAAAAAAATAAATTAAATTAACTGTAAGTTTATTTGTAATTTATCTATTTTTTTTTTTTTTTTTTTTCATGTTATGTTATGTTATGTTATGTTATGTTACTTGCATATGAAGAGCTTAGACTTACCTAACCAGCCAGAGAGAGAGTCAGAGTGTTTGGGTGGATCATCAAGTGTGAAAGAAGAATCTCAAGTCTTGCTGTACTAGCCTATCTGCAAATGCCAGAGGCTACTGGTGTCAGCATGGTGTGTTCTTTTATGTAATGCTACTGGTAACCTGAGATTCTACCTGGCAACTGATAGCTGAACAAAGAGAGAGATTATATACTCCACATTATACGCTCCATCCTTTTGTGTACCTTATTGAATTAGTGGTGATGAAAGCTATGTATCCTATAAGACTAGTTGTTGCTGCATGTTTGCACAGGACACACAATCACTGACAGATGAACATTCCTGCAAGTTGAAAACCCTTGCAAACGTATGGAGAACATGCAAACACTCACTCACACTGTAATACATAGCAAACCAGTATGGTATAACTGTCATAGCACTTACAGAAAATAAAGCTTTTTTTTTTGCTCAAAAGTCTGCACTGAAATGTGCGATGCAGCCTAAAGAAGATATTGGGGCTTGATGTTTATGAATTAAGATACAGGGAGAAAAGCTGTGTCGAGTGCAGTGTGCAGGAGCCCTGGCGTTGCTCCATTTTGGTGACACTTGCAAGAGCACATAATAGCTTGGGACTAGGTGGGATCAATTATTAGACACTAAAGTCAGATTAAAAAAAGGAGGTGAGTCTGTTTCATCCAAGTTGGATGTTGTCAACTTTTACTTGTTGCTAGTGAGCATAACAACAGGGCAAAGCAGCAGGTGTTGATTGCTGCATGTTTGCACAGGACAGTCACACACTGACAGACAAACTTTTGCATGCAAATCCACCTATAATCATCAGATTATATTTTTCAACTCACCTAACCTGTATGTCTTTGGAGGATGAAACCCTTGCAAACACATGGAGAACATGCAAACACTCACTCACACTGTAATACAGTGTGAGCCAGTATGGTATAACTCTCATAGCACTTACAGAAATAATTGAGTTTCATTTTTTTTCTCTTTAAAACTCTGCACTGCAATGTAGAAGATATTGGGACTCGATGTTAGTATGTCAGCAAACTCACTTTCAGCGGCAGAGCCACAATCTCAAGAGGGCGGACATGTAGTTTTGACTCAAAGATCACACTTTCACAATGAAGATCAATCATTGCAGAAGCTGGATTTTGTCAACTTTTACTTGTTGCAAGTGAGCATGTCAACAGGGTAAAGTAGCAATAGCTGTAGTCCATTAGGGCCTATTAACTGCTGTACAAAACGGTGTATGTCCCAATTTGTGCAGTGAGTGGGATATTTATGGGCTGTGTGAGATCCTCAGGTTGCGCCTCGTCTTATTTCAGCCACCAGAGGGCAGAAGTGCAACAACAATCTGTGTGCAAAGCAGTTCTGAGAGAACTTAGGTGGCACCAAAAAGTCTTAAATTAAATTAATTATACGTTTATCCTAACCTGGCTGACATTATCTCAAAATGTTGCACCATTAATACATTCCAGTAAACATTCAGCCTTTGTTTGCAACTTCTAATAATTTGAAAGGAGAACCTCATCCTTTTCAAGGTGCTTTTTGCTGAAAGGGCACAAATAAACAACTTTTTTTCCATATCGTTTAATTCCACATTCTTTATATGTGTAGCATTAAGGAACGATAACTTGCATTTTGTTGTGCAACCCTGTGTTGTAGACAAATTAACCTTGAACCTTAAATTACTTAACTGAACAATCTTATGGAGCAAAGAATTATACATAACTATACATAATACATAATAACATAATTACATAAATAATTTTACCCACTGTCACATCAAACATTACTTGTCTTCTAGATTTGTTTGGTTAATGAGGTGAGGTGCATTTCTAGAAAAAAAGCATTGTTTGATTTAAGGGTTACAACTGAAGTAATAAATGTGTGGTTAAAGGGCAGAAATCAATTGTTAATAATTAACTAGCGGTATTAATAATTAATAAGTGAATGTAATTTGAATAAAACATGATGATGTTACTAGATGAAGATGGTCAGCCTAAATGAAAATATCTTACAGGTACGCACATTCTGACAGAAATTTATTTATTTATTATTTCTTTATTTCTTGAAGTGTAGAAAATAATCTGCATGTTTTTTTGTAAAAATAAGCCCATATCATTCTGAAATATGTGTTTGGATAATGTCTTAATTTTGTAAAGCAGAGATTGAATGATTCTACACCTACATTAGCCTACATTATAATTCTACTAATACCAAAAGTACAGTAACTTCACATTATTGTCTTTTGCAGTGCATTCACAAAATAATAAAGATCATACCATGTCATGTAGCACTTAAAAAGTATAAAAGAAAAATGCCCTTTAGTTACAGATCATACTGCATAATGGCTCATTTGCAGACTAATACAGCTTTTTTTTTATCATGCAGTTTGGCAAATAAAAAGAAAAAATTGGTTTGAAAATCTATTCCTGTATGTCCAGATGAATTGTGCAGTCCATCTTCCTTGTTGGTTTAAGTGTACATTGAAATGTAAATCCACTGAAAATAAAGAGGGACATGGGTTATTGGAAAAATCCCCTGCATTAGCTTATGCCAACAAGAATTGATGTGATTATGTGTAAAGAAACAAATTATTTAAGCAGTGATGTGTGAAAAGTTCTACCTCTGCCTCGCGAAGATTCATGCTTTTTCCATCAGATGAGAGTTGTCTGAAGATTTCTGTTGAGCAGCACACAGATTGTAAATATATATATTCACCTTAAGCTATAAGCATAATAAATTGTATAACTAGGCTAGACTGTTTGCCTTCTATGGCATGAACTTTCAGTTAATTTGAACAAGAGAAGCAGACTGTTACTTTTTATATGTGTTATTGATTGTCATCCTTTGTCCCACTTGACTTTCACTTACTGTACATGCAGTCCAGGCGAAGGATGAGACTGATGAAGCTCTCCAGCGACATGTGTCCAGAGGAGTCACTGTAGCGCAGGGCCATCAAATTGAGCATGTCATCGCTGACCATCATTCCTGTTCAACACACACAGAATTTAAGAGGAGTTTGTCAGTGACTCGTTCTTCTAACGTCTTGGTGTGATATCGCATGTTTTGCACAAGCCAAATTTCCAGCATCAATCCACACACACACACACACACACACACACACACACACACACACACACACACACACACGTTTATTTCTGGATGGGGTGACCAGATCCCAACAAACCTATTGTGGGACAAAGAGTATGTTTATGTGGGACAAAATACCAATTATGAGAGGTAGTCTTAACATTCCTATTCTGCCCCTTAGCTCTTAACATATTCCTATTCTGCCCCTTAGCTCTTAACAGTTCTATGCTTTTCCCTCTGGTTGATTAGGTAGCACACAACAGACTCTGCGTTGAGACAAGTTGCCATTTTACACCAATGCAACTAGCGAGTTGCATTTTATTGATGAAATGGCAAAAACGCATAAAAAACTAAACAAGATGGTCGAGAATTTGGAGCTGTCCATGGGTGCTCTTATTTGAGTACATTTTGAGGCTTGGGTCATACAGACACCGCTCTTCCTCAAACAAATTGATAAGATAATTTTCTCTTTCCTGCATTCATTTTGACGAGCTGGCAGTCTGACTTCGCTCCGAGCTGGTTGGCTGTTACGTTCTAAAACCATATACTGGAGATGAGACAAGCAGGCAACCACATCAGCCAGCTTGAGAAGACCCGCTCTAAAACTGATCATCCCATTATGAATCTTTGGTCATGAAGGACTTAACAGATATATTTTATTTGGATGCAACTCCAACACTAAGCAATTACTGTAAGAATAAAGTGAAGCTAAAGTTTCACAGTTCTTATGGTCTTTGTTGTAGCTGCATTTTCTTTTCTTTGTGGTAAATTCCATCATATTCCACCTAAATCCGTATAGCGTGTGAATATGTGGTGACTCAACATTTTCCCATTAGGCGTAGTAGGAAGGATGGTGACAAGTTGACCTGCACTTGATCCACATATGTACAGTTTGACTGACATCAAACACAGCCCTGTGATGACAACCTCCCTTGCTTTCTTTACAGCCACTGGATTAAAGCCAAAAGTTCTGTAAATTGCAAGTGTACGTTGTATATAGCTGCCATAGCTGATTCTAGGGCCATTGGGTGCCAGTGGAAACACACTGTGAACATATTACTGACATATTAGTATTACTTTTTAAATTTATATGGCAAACTTGTTTGCAAACAAGTGCCATCAGTTTGGAGTCACGGCAAATGCAAGTTCAATATGCAATCTGCTTTTAGCTCGGTTTTTGGCGTCCACCAGCTCCCTGGAGGAAATATCTATCTCTTTATCTGATAAATGTTCCAGCTAGTAGCTACCTTTATCTGTCTGTCTGTTGTTTGTTTGTTGTTGATGGGCTTGCAGTATACAATACATCAAAGCTTTTCTGTGGAAAGCAGCTGCTTATTATGAGAGCGGTGAGACTGAAGCAAAGAGTTAAAATGATTAATGATTAATCTACTCAATCAGTAATCTTTCCTTACTTTATCAGACCCAGTTAATCTGGCTCAGTCCCACATTAACACATCCTCTCTTTCATTCGTCTTTTACCTCTTTTTTGGTTGAAAATGTATTTACTTTCTGAGGTCGCACACATTTTTATTATGTTTCCCAGTGTTGTTTGGCACTGATGTTAAAAGGCATAGTGTTTGTTTACTGTTGTACAGTACTGTTGTATACCATTCAATACATTTATAATCAAGGGTAGCTAGTCTACCTGAAGCTACGAATGCATTCCTCAGCTCACTCAGCGACAGTGTTCCTGTTCGTGAAACATCAGTGAGGAAGAAGATGTCCTGGTAAAAGAAGAAAACAAAACAATAACCAAAAAATCAAAGCTCTTCCATTCAGTATGAAACATTTAAGTGGGACTCGATGACTTTTACCTTGTATGTGATGACCTTTTTCCACAAACGAACAAACTCCTTGTCGTTCAGTTTGCCGGTGATTGATGTCTTTTTAGCCCAACATTAAGGTAACAAAACTATACATGTAGACTGGCCTTCAAATCATGTAATGTGTGTTATATCAACAAAAGGGCCAGCAGGTTTGAATCTATTATATACAGACAAGTTATACCAGATCATAATGAATGTCATATGTATCTTAACAGGATACGTCCATCAGAGCAACCATGCTGCGACATGCATCAATGGTGAAGCCTCCAGATTTCAAGTCTCCTAAAAAGAAAAAAAGACCTTTGGTCTAAACCCTGCAATATAGCAGTGTACATACCATTTCAGTGTATTCTACTGTTTGCCAAGGTAGCCTGTTAATATTTGTTTACAGTCCAAACCTTTCAGGATTCTGTCATTTAGAAGCCTCTGGAGCTGCATGGCATCCACTTCTTCGTACTGGAAATGAAATGAAAACAAGTTGTAATGGACTGTGTTAAACTTTCTCTTAAATTCCCCTCAAATCATAAATATGTTCTTCTTCTTGTTCCTACAGTTGGATGTTTGAGCTTCACTGTGCAGAATGATGTTTGTGCAGGGTTTGACACTAGAAGGACGTTTTCACATTCATCTGCTGAAAGTGAAAAGTTTCTCTGTGCTCAGTGAAAATCTGATTATTTAAGGGGCGGGCCCACAAGCATGATAAGGCCTGGTCCAGTATGCAACTTATATAAGTGCATAAACACTGACAATGGACTCACCCACAGTGAAGTAGGAGTCATCTTGTGTCCCACATGAAAACTTTAGAAATTAACACAATTTGCATATTCATAGATTCTGGAATTTTTAATGCGGTAGTAGAGTAGATGCCTATTAAAAGACTTTAATGTGGAATTTTCTTTTTCTTCTACTACTGGTATATATGTCTTAATTCCTGTCTGGAGGGAATCTTTAAGCTTTCATTAGTGAGTTTCCTGTCAACACGTGTTCAATGAATTGTGAATTGCTATGCTAATTAAACCTCTGTTATGCTAAAAGACAATCATTCTCCACAACACGCAAGTTTGACATACTGGCCTTCTAAGTGGTTTGGATATCATGTTAGCAAATTATTGCCTTTTTACACGTCCAGCAGTTACAGAGTAACATGAGCATTTATGTGAGCCATGTTTCACCTGATGATTGTAAAGAAAATTCAGGAAATGTGGTTTATGAAGGCGATAAGAGAGAACCAAACAAGTTGCGGACCATTAAATCAAAAGAACGGGCTAAAATATGAATTGCTGAAGCTGTAAGCAATGTGAAAACTGGTGGATTTTAAATACATTTATACTAAGGAGTAGTAAAACTCAACTTAACTCAGTGAGACAAATATTACCTTGTCGGAGTACTGACGGAAAAGGGATTTCTTATTTTCATCTTCTTGTACATTTGGGACCATTTTGGGCTAAAGGTAGAAGAGAAAATATAAGAAGAAATGGATCATTTTACCTCAAATACAACTGTAAAAACATATTTCACATACGCTTGAATATAGCTAAAATAGAGTTAAGAACATGTAACACAATATCAGAACAATATAAACACCAATAATATAATGATATTATTAAATCTTGCACACCTTTTGAACTCGCTTGTGTTGTTGGTCACCAGAGTTTTCACTGTGGAGAAAGACCAAAGACATTCCACATATAATTGATTAGCGTTTTATTTTTTCTTATTAGTCATATTCTTGATGACAAGCAGTGGATTGAGAGGGTGAGCATACTAGCCATGGGTCTCTGCTTTGGAGTGGATGGTCAGGATGAAGGAGGCTGTCTCATTGGGGTTGAAGCTGGATGGCACAATCAGGTATTCACCAGGCTTTAGCAAAACAAACTCCATCACCTCACGTGCATTCATGTAGGTTTTAGTTTGGGCGGCAGGTGCTTGGCTGCTGAAGAAAGAGGCTGGGAACTTTCCCTTCTGCTCCTTGTACTGTAACAATAAGTAGATATTTACATTCTCTGCAGTTTATATCCTTTACCAGAGCTCCACAATGCTGGTGGAGAATGTTGTAAATAAGGATGGGATGTGATTAAACAGTCTCTTACTTTTTCAGTCACCTTGAGGGAAATCAGTGGAAGAGGAGTTCATGTTGGGGACAGAAAGCAACCAATTCAATTAGTAAGTCAGAATTATATTATTATTACATGCATGTACTCACTCGAAAGGAAAAGCAGACTCTGCCCAAGACCTACACCAGCTAGCAAACTGTTGTGGCTGCATGAACTTTGACTTCGGGCGTTTAGTTATTGTGTTTGCTTTACTGCTACCGTCCTTTGACTCCTTTGAAGATGGTGCCCTTTTGACCTGATTAATTCACATATTCATTCATTTATTGTTTTTAATCTCCCAAAATCCTTACAAGCCAAAAGTGTTTTTGACTTAGTCGCTCATGTGAAATCATGCTAGTGAAACTCCCACTTTGTACACAAAAGCGTGGGAATTCCCTCACTGGAGCTTTCTTTGCATGCTCATTAATTATGTTTGAATGTGAAAAGTTAGCTTCCCCGGTGGAGTTACAACAAAGTAGATTAGATATACCGGTGTTATAGTGAAAATATATGTGTTACTGAGAATACTTGAGACTTGGAATATGCAGCACGATTGCTTGTTTGTGGTAAATAAAGATTTTCATAAACATTCTGTAATTTCCTCTCTGTGTTTTATTTTGTATTGTTAATGACGGTGTCCACCTTTTTTTTAAGTTGGATTTAAATTGCCTTCACAAGCAGAAGGGATTCACAGAAAATGATGCATGTACAATATTTAATCCAGTTTACTGTTTGACCTTTGAATCTCATTGATAGTCCACGTGTTGCTATCAATGTCATTTTGAATGTGAATGTGAGTCAGTTCATTCATCTAACCCATAATATCCTAATACGTGGTATTTCTAACTGTTGGGATCTGTTCACGTAGTTGTGGATGCATTATACTGTTGTGGTTCAAGTGTGAAAAATAAGGTAAATTTGAATGATAAACATAAAGGCCTGTGTGGGTTTCTACCAGACCCTGACATTCCTGCCTTCTAATAACTGGTATGTAATAAGTACATAAATGGCACAGAAAATACAAAATTTCTTCACTTTAAATAGTCCAAAGCTAGAAGGGGTGAAACCTTTTTTTCACAGTATTCCAGGTTACCAAAAAAAATGATTCCCCCAATTATAACTTTTTGCTACAGCAGGAAAATATTCCACTACATTCAACATGATGGCACAAAATGCTCAAAACTGTGGTCTACAGCCATTCCATTGTAGTTTTCACTTAATCTCACAACTTCAGCTATGTCTACTGTCTGCATGACCTATCCATAATAGTCCAATCACTGTGACAGAAACAATGAAGAGTCATTTTTACCTCAAACACAGAGAATCCAATGTGGAGATTTTGGACCAGGCGTCGGTTCCTTTTGTCAGGCTTTTGCATAAGAGACAGCAACACATTTTTCGAACCAGTTTTCTCAGAATATTCACCATCAATCTTGACCCGATACTGTGGATTAGTCCAAAAACTGTCTGGAATACAGAAGAAAGTATTGCGTTGTGTCATTTAGCTAAAAGTAAAGAGTGATTTGATTGATTTATCTAGATTAAAATGAAATGTTATTGTGTATTACTGATGAACAAAAAATGGCTTATAGCAATAGTGAAACTCATTTATTCTGTACTATATAACATGGAAAGTCAAGTTTGTTGCATGAGCAGGAGTTGTGTATTAAAGTAACGCTGGAATTGTGTCAGAATTTTATTTTTTTACTGCATGTGAGCACTTAATGCAAGATAAGGTACTGTTAAAACAATGTTACTAGTTTCAGTTTATGTTATCTAATCTAAAGCACTTCACACTTCTTATGCAGGAAGTGAGAATTTGACACATTGTTTTGCTCGACTTGTGTTGCTTGTGACCACCTTGTGCCGCAATTTTAGCAAAGAGACTTTAGCGACTTCCTTCCACAGCAGTCTTGAAAACATCAACAGCTAATTAGGGAATACTCGTTTAGCACTTCACTAGTGTATAACAACACTAACGCCAGGCAGATAGTGTTGAACTACTTGTTAACAGTGAAGGCTCTGGGTTCAGTGACAGTTCGTGAGGATGACTAATTTTACTGCACTCAGTATAAAGGTTGCATACAGTAGCCACCTCAAAACAGCCAGATCAACCACACCATCCATAAAACACATTCACCATAGATAATTCTGAGTTTCTTATCATTAAATTTAAGTCCAGACGTCCAAGAAGTACCTCTGTTATTCATGCATCCTCCAGCAGTGGTTCCTGCAACCCATCTGCCCTCATACAGGGAGGTCTTCCACTGACAAGAGGAGTTTCCATCAAGGAAGTCGGGGCACAGGCAGCAGATGTCGAGATCCGAGTAGAACCTACAGAAGTCTTCCAGGGTCATCCTGTTGACATCAGAGATTCATTTTGATCATATTTAATTTTTCTTCTGAATGTGATGCTGAAAATATGACCCCTAAACTTGAGAAATAGTACAGTACAAGATTCATGAAGAAAAATGTATTCCTTCCATATCAGTTGAGGGGCAGATGAAATCTTTTATATTCACAAACCCATATGTACCTGTCTTCATAAATGCAAAGAAAAGCGACTTACAGCTCCCTCCCTGTATTTGTGAGAGAGTGACAAGCAAGCCGGTTCCACAAGGTGTTTTGTGTCTGAAAATATGTTTACAATCCTACTGTCCTCCTTAAGACAACTGACCCTCTAACACAATATGCCTGTTGTGTTTCACTTTGCATCACACTAAAAACACAAATATATTTTCCCCACAGAAATAATGTTGTTTAAAATATAACATGTCTAAATGTGTGTTATATGTTTTATATTATAATGCTGCAAGAGTATACGTTTTCTTGTTGTTGTCATTATATAGCATAATTGTGAATACATTTTAAATACATCACAAATATCAACTAAAAATAATATAATATTGGCTGTTTTGTTGTTACTGTGAAGGTGTGAGTGGGACAGAAATCACTGAATTTTCTTGTATTTGATGACGTTTCCTTACCAAAACTCTCCATCATCATCCACTGAAAGGCATATTTTACGATCCTGAGCACTCACAGTTTGCCACAGAGATGACCTTCAAGACAGTTTGACATGTAGAGGAGACAGATTTTATGATTCTGAGTGGTTTATAGCAGTCAGAGGAACACATATGTCCTGAGGCTTAGAGACAGTGTGTCTCAGCTTTCTACTCAGCGAATATGCAAATACAGTGCAAGGGATTTTCTGGGGATGAAAAGCTTTTTTTAAGCTGCCTTTAAGGCATGACATTGCAGTTCAGGCAAAACAGGTTTAGAATGAGGGAGATATTTAGAAAATAGTTTTGACAGGTTTTAATACCCATTCTACAAATGACCTTTGTAGTATTACCTGTGGGAATACCACTGAAAGTAAAAAGTAAAAACACCTGGCTGTTAGCAACCTACTGGCTTTCACAAGTGGTCACATGCATCCTTAAGAAATGTTGGGAGTTGTTCTCACCGATCACTCCAGTCTCCATTCCACTCTCCTTTTCCCCAGGGGTTCCACAAACGCACCAGGTTTACCACTTTCCCTTGGCTCATCATCTGACCAGCAATCATCATGGGAGACAACAATGCTGTTATGTACCATACATGAAATACAATAAATTATTCAAGAAATCATTTGCAAAGATACACTGCAGTGGAAGCTTAACAGCTGCAACTGTTGGTAAAACAATCATTATGATCAGAATCAGTGTTTTAAAAATGATTTTCAATTCCTAAAGCAGTATTCCAAGTGTAGTCTTCACCTGTTTCACACCCGTCACAGTGTAGGCATGGCCTTGGACCAATCCGTTCGGCAATACAGTGTTGGCAGATGTCTCCTACAAGCCAAAGACACTTATCATTGCTAAAAGTTAACTGGAAAACAATGTGGGTTATGTGTTGTAGACACAAATTTTGGGTAACACTTTATAATGAGTACACACTATTAAGCATTAGTTAAGCATGAATAAATAATGAATTCATCATTTATAACGCATGAATACACATTAGTATGTAGTTTATAAACACAGTTAAAAATGTTTTATTCATCATTGATCTATAAAACTCACAACAAATTAATTTTCTAATGATGGCCTATAAACAGTTATTAATGCAGGAATTCACAGTTGCAAAGCACTTACTACTCGTTAATTAAGTATTTTGCGCGAGCTCATCTAAAGTGAGCACTATCTATGGCTTGGACGTTGAGCTGATGTAAATTATACGTTGATGACGTGCTGAGAGCGGGAGGCGACAGGCGGGATGTTACGTCATATTTACGTTAACTCTCAGAGGTTTCTGACAGTGCAGCCAAGGGGAGCATGGAGAAGCACATTGGAGTCGGCGGCCGTCAGCGGCTCTAGTGGTGAGTAAGCTCAACGTCCACGTCCCAAACAGAGAAGATCACAACAATAGCATGTCTTCATAAACCACCCTTGTTCGTCTTCATACAATATGTTGGGAAGTTGCAGTAAATATCAATACAATATGTTCTATATCCCTTTGTGTTGTGTCTCTCCTTCGTCTGTTAAGATAACTGAACATTTTGTGAGTCTCGAGGCATTGTCAGCCTTTATATCTCATTTGTAAATGCTTAATAAGCCATAGATAGTGCTCACTTTAGATGAACTCGCGCAAAATACTTAATTAACGAGTAGTAAGTGCTTTGTAACTGTGAATTCCTGCATTAATAACTGTTTATAGGCCATCATTAGAAAATGAATTTGTTGTGAGTTTTTATAAAACATCTGCTAACACAGTCACTAATCATTAATACATGTCTGAATAGTGGATGTGCAAGTGCATGCAGAAATGTACAGTACAATGAAGAGTAAAACATTTATAACTGCGATTATAAACCACATAGTAATGACTATTTACAGCAGAATCATGCTTTATAAATGATGAATTCAGTATTTACTAATCCATAACTAATGTGCTTATCAACGATGAATAAAACATTTGTTTTTTTAAACTGTGTTTATAAACTACATACTAATGTGTATTCATGCGTTATAAATGATGAATTCATTATTTATTCATGCTTAACTAATGCTTAATAGTGTGTACTCATTATAAGTGTTACCCAACTTTTGTGAAGACTTGTCCAAAATAAACTGGATTAAACTGTGTGACAGGAGCCTATAAATCATTTTCATGGGTCTGTGACCATGAAAATGTGTCATTGCAAAGCTTGGGTAAGTTTTAAGCAGTCTTTTGTCATTTTAGGAAAAATGCTTTCTTTGCAACAAATCTTAGCTTGTCTAGCTTAGCTTTATACAAATACTGGAAACAGGAAGCTCTTGACCATGGATGTACTATAAGACCTAGATACTGGACCTCTGGATGCCGCACATTCATTTAAATGAAAATTGCTCGCAGGGAGCATAAGACACATTGGCACATTGCATCCTGCTGGCCCCACACATACAAATCTCTTGTAGGCTCTGGGAAAACCAGAGCCTCTAGTGCAACCCTTTCAATTGAGAAAATTTGAAAATGTGTTTTTGTTCAAGTTGAAGTTCATTTGTTAAAGATGAAAATGTGTGGAGTATCTGTACTTACTCCTTGAGGTGTACCACAACCTATCAGAGACTTGGACTGGCCAGCTCTGCACATCATCTCCCACAGGTTTAGAGGAGGGTTTGACAGCTCGATACATATGTGAACACCTCCAGTGAAGTCCATCATAGCCTCAGAAGGAGTTCCAGCATTCATGTCGGTATAGGAACCACACACCCTGACATGAATGGATGTGATATTATTTTTAGAGTTACTCCAGAAATTAGAAAAAACTCATGCAATGACAAGACATTTGTGTCTGAGAAACAATGGACTTCTCTTTCCGTACTTGGCATATGCTTTCTCCATCAAAGCAGGCCAGAACTCATTTTGGTCAATGGAGTGAACGAAGATCAGTCTCCCATTGATTGTCGGTAGCTTGTCATCAATGATGACATCCACCCACCTTCCAAATCTCCAGAACTGAATGGTTAAAAAATAAGGGAATAGAAAATAAAAATAAGATCTGTGTACCATTAAATGCTAAACACATACTGTATGTGTCATGTCAAGTTCTGGGTCAATATTCACATTGTTATTTAAAAGAAATTATGAATTTCAGAAAATAATTTCTTGTTTTGCGCCTGTTCTTCAAAACATTGGTTGAAACACACACACAAATACACACAGATACAGATAAACCAAAATCATTTGTATAAGTTTAAAAACAGTTCCTGTAGACAAACAGTTGTGTTTACAGTATATTCAGTGTTTCTTACTGTTGTGTGCAGGTCTGACTGAATGTTTTTGATTCTGTTCCTTCCTCATAAGGCATATCCTTAGCCAATTTTAAGAACATTTTGAAACCTGTGTCACTGCTAGAAGAGCATTAAGAACAAACAGAACAGGGACCGCAAGTGCTCAAAAACTCTGCAGTGTACCGTCAAATAAAGTCATCAATAGATATATTTAATGATGAGAAAACCTCCACAAATCAGCCAATTTAGGGCCCAAACCTGTGCTTTTTGCCTTCAGTCTGGTTTTAAAGTGAAACAAATGCTCAGATGCTCAGGTGACTTAAAATCCTTGTCTTGCTGCATACCTGTTAATCTTAAAATTGACCCTTGAACCTCTTTGAACTTCATTCTTAAGTTCACTTGACCTTAAAAAATGACAGTTGACAGTGACCACTTTGTCACTTTGTCAGCTCATATTGTTTCATTTGCTCTAGAGCAAATACAAAGTCAAATTACTTATGAAGTGTACTGTGCATACATCATTTTGAAATGAAATCCAAATAATAATGGCACTAAATTATTACAGAATGTCTTAAATGAGAAATAATTAAAACCTATATATGCTGTTAGTATTTACCTTGAAATGGAACAGCCCGCAGTAGTTCTCATCAAATGTTTGTTCAAGAGGGACAACTTGCCCAAGGATATCAGGCTGGAACGTCAAAGCACCGATAGACGCAAGAAACCAGCAGTTTCCTGGGCAAAACATGGTTGTTGTTTTGTTAGAAAGACAAGTCAGCACAAGAGCAAAGTTTTAGGATTGAAGAAATTTCCCTACCAAGTAGTCCTTGACCAAAGTCAAACCTGGAGACCCCATCAAGTACGAAGGATGGATTAGGAGAAATTTTCTGAAATAGAGGGAGTGTTAAAGAGTCAAAACCAACAAAAAAAGATACGTTAAAGATTGGAAGAATAGTTTCTTAATACAAAACTTACATGCCCACTTGTACAATAAAATATTTACTTGTCATTGTAATCACTCCTACTATTCATATTGGTCATGTAGAAATCTCCTCCTGCCAAAATCTGGACAAAACCCACAGGCTTCATTCCACACATAAAATTACATTCCTACATTCAGCTAAAGTAATATGAGGCTTCGGTAGTCTGAGGTAGCCAAATCAAGTCTTTTAAGTCTGAAATTTCCTCATGCCGTTGCTGGTACTAAGCCAACCAATCTCTGAAGAATACTGGCCATGAAGCCTTTATGTCAAGGCCAGCATGGAGAGGAAGAATGGTTACCAAAATATACAAGGGTTACAATATACAAATACAAATGTATGTGTGAGTATTGTATTAAGGTAGACATGAAAATAATCTCAACCTATCATTTAGGACTGTATGAAAATTATTAGGGTGGGATGGTGGCTCTAGGCTTCCCATAATAATCAACCAGTAGATTGATCTTTAGTTATTAATGATTAAACATTATCAAATCAAAAATGTCATGTTTTTTATTACCCCACAGTCATTCACAGTTCAGAGTGAATGACTGTGTTCACACAGTTTATTTCATTTTGACCCCATGTACTTGCATATAATCTGCTTTTACAGAGTGGCAAACCAACCAAGAAACTTGGTAAACTTCGTAACTGGGTTCCATGTTATACTTTGCCTGTTTTAGTTATTAATGGTGAATCAATATTATTGTTGTTATCCTTTTATTATTTTGGAATAGTTTGGGGGAGGGTGTTGCAGGTTTTTCTCAGTCAAAGTGAGGGTCCGTAGAAAAAATGTATAATTCTGGGGATGGCCATGACTTTTTAAAAAGGGAAACATAAGGTTTAACCCTAGCCATCCAGATATTTTTTCCCTAAACATACATCATCAAAATGGTATGTCCTGTTTGTTATAACTACTGGTTTTACACCATAGTCAGAAACCGGTGTGATTATTTTAACGCAGCTGGTGTGGAAGTCATTCCAAAAAAACTAAAAACATATGCAGTTACACACATATCTAGACACCTAGCCTACAGGGAGAACATGCAAATTTCACTCCTGTCAGTCATGTTGAGTCTGAACACAGAACCTCATTGTGAATTGAAAGTGCTAAACACTGAATCACTGGAAGATGCTAGGTTTTGATCTCATAACAAATTGTAATGTCTGATTAAACATTAATATTTAGTGTGATACAGGATCTTTTCAGTGGTTTACCCCTTCCAAAACACTCACCGCTGGTCTCAGCCACACCACACGAGCCAGGTCAGAAGGGCTCAGTATCCCTTCGCCGATGGAGGTCCTGTCAGGGGGAAACATCTCGTCGATGTACCTTACTCCTTTGATGATGCAGTACTCTTTCAACTGATTGTAGTCTTGGTTGAGGAAATTCTCTGGGTTGGTGGGGCTCCCATAACCATCTTGCCTGTGGCGAGCCTCCATGATGTTCAAACACACACCGGGAGGAGGCATTGTTGCAGTGTTTGGGCTCTGTTAAGAAAAATGAGATTAAGAACCATTTTGACATTTCCAATAATTCTGCATACAAAATTGAGAGATGCAAATTAATGGGTTGTCAAAGCTTTACAGGGAGTCACAAAGCCTTCTTGATTTTAAGGGGTGTAAGAAAATGTATTTACAGTAGGCCTACATCTCACCATTAAGATATAAACTCTCAGCACCAAAAGAGCTAATAGAGCAATGAGAAGAAAACACTAAAGTTGTTTGTCAAAAACTATGAATTATGTATGATTGTTAAAAATAATAATAATACAGACAGAGGATTGTATAAATTCCTAAAAATATTTGAAGAACTAATCTTTGATATTCACATGAAATAATCTAATTCATCCAAATTGCATGTTTTACACAACATTCCTGCAGTTATTGTGTTCACTAATTGGGTTAATTATACAGTTCATCACTTGTTCTGTATGTTTGAATATAATATGAAATATCTATAAATCCCCTACGGGAAAACACTTAAGAATTCTCTAAAGAGTGCTCTTCACTGAGTGGGAGCAGTAAAACTACCATCAAACTAACATGTACATCTGTCACAGAGTGACAAGCACAGAGCAGGAGTAACCAGTTACTTTGTGTTGCAAAAGCATGGATTTGTTTTCAAGTTTGTTATATTTTTTGCAAAATCCCTATCATCTACAGTAGCAATTATTATGAAATGAATTATTTATAATATATAAATAGCTGTGGCATAACAGTAAATTGGCTGAAAATGAATAAAAAAAAAAACTAAACAGACATAGGCTCACCTCTCTGTTTGTACTGGGTTAGGGTTAGGGTTAGACCACATATACACTTCAGTCACTCAAATGTAGAACATGCTGTTTGAAATCTGAATCAATTGGTTTAAAATGTTACTGGCTTTTGAAGACCTTACCTCAACTCAAGAGAGATGGTGGGTGGATCTGCAGGTAAGAGCGGGGAAGCTTTGTCTCTTACATATATGTCGGTAAATGCCTGAGGGTTGTTAAGGTGTTTCTTCACAAGACATGTAATCAAACCCTGCCTCCAGTCACCTGCACAGTGATCTTGAACTGCTGTAGTCTTTTGTGTGACAAAGAGAAAGACAGGGGGAGAGAGAAAGAATTTCACTTTCAATAGCAATACCCTGCAAGATAGAGAAGTCATTTTTTATATCCTGAAACAAACATGAACTGGTTTGTTTATGGGGTTTTTATGTGCGAATTTATCTGCAGAGCAATAAAGTGGTTGTCAATGATTAACCTGAAGTATGAACACACTGCCCTCTGGTTGTGCATCCTGTTAAACTAAGCTGCCAGTGTTTACAAAAGGTTTGATACTGTGATTAAAGCCAGGTCTGTAACCTCTGATACCCTGTTATTATCTGTGTTGCCAATAATAAACCAAAATTCAGCCAAATCAACCAATAAGTTAAGATGCAGCCAGCAGCTGTACTGTTTGACTTAGCAGTGATTGGTGCAAAAGAAAGAACTGATAGTAATTTGTAAACACGTGAAAATAATATATTTTCCAATGGATCCGTAATTGTGTTTGTGCCAGACATCATAAAGCAAAACTGCAGCATTAAGTACATAGCATTATCATTAACAGTGTAAAGTGACATTAATCAACAAAAACTCCATTAAAAGTTCATATAAAAAATTAAAAGTAATTTTCTCAATTTTCTTCTCATGCATATGAAGATTTATAAATATTTAATATTTAATTTCTCTGTTGTTCAATATAATATCTTCGCCTGTCTCTCTCCATCAAGAACAGTGTGTTTAATTGTTCATTAGGCAAATACTTCAATAGGAGGCACACAAAGCTCCCTGAGTATATTTTGCAACAACAGCCAACAATAGAATTAGTTGTTTTATGGTGTGGTCAAACCATGTTTTCCCACTGGGTCAAGTGTTGGACTGCTGCTTATTAATGCCAGGAGACATTTACTCCTTTAATAGTTCAAGTGAGTAATCATGTTTTTATTCAGATGTCACTGTATCAGAAAGATTAGAGCACTTCTTAAGAAATGGGATGGCAGTACTGGCAGTTGTGATGTCAAAGAATAGCCTCCTTTCTTCCCTGGTAGGTGCTTTTGGTGAACCACACACCATGTGCCAGCCAGCCCATTTCATGCTTTACACAAATGGAATCTGAGTTTAGACACCTCACTCATTTTATCGGAGAATAAGGGGTTACAGGTTGCAGACTTCTAGATAAGCCTATCTCATTGACTGACTGCCAACCCACATTTCAAAGGAAGACATGCTTAGACAGCTCACTTTCATCCAAAGCTGACAGGTTAAAATTGAACTGTGGTCACTGATACCACACTTGTGTCTGTTTGGTAAATATGAATTCTGAATACAAGAGTAAAATCTGCCTATTTGCCATTTTAAAACTGAGTAATTAAGTTTCAATTTGACGCTGAGAATATCCAGCTAGTCTTGTGTAGCTTCAATCACACATTTGCTGATTATACTAAGACATTATTGTATAAATTACCAAAGAAAATCAATAAATCAATAAATCAATTAGCATGTTGTAACATGTCTGATTTCTACTATATGCAAATCAGGCAACACATCCCATGTGCCTCATGAGACACATGTGTAACTAATAAAGTCCTGCAAGACGAATCTTGTCTGGCAGTCTTATCCCATGTTCAAGGCATTTTAGCCCTGGGTGAACTGTTGGACTGTGATCATTTATGAAAGGTTGTCTGTCAAATTATCAACAATCTGTCAAAGTTTAAAGGGCAAAATATTTCTAGAAACTCCCATAATCCCAAAGCTCTGTTCCACACAATAAATTCAGTTCTCAACTATGCTACTGCTACCTGTCCTGGGCCTATGCATACAATCTATTATTTCCCCTCCAGCCTCCAATCCTTCATGTGTACTGGACACTGTAGGTCTGATAATTTCAGCAGTCTTGCAAATAGGGCCAATCTGTCCTGACTTTAACCAGAACCACAGTTGAGGTCTAACACCAGTCCCCTCACACTGACGCACCCCGTCCTGACCTGGTGAACGTCACACATGGTGAAATGACTGCTTTATCATTTGACCCAGGTGAGTCTTTAACCAGAACCACAGTCGAGGTCCAACACCAGTCCCCCTATGGGGGAAAGCTAAAGCAGCTTAAATAAGGCACCCTGACTGATATTTGCCAATTGGATGCTCGTGGGAATCAGCTGAGCTGTCAGCTGATATGTGCTTAGATAAGCTGTGATCAGCTGATTTAGCTGGAATTGAGAGCTGAGCTTGACTTTGTGGCCTGCCTGAACTAAGGCTGTGTTTAATTTGTGCATATATTTTAATATTGCCTTGTACTATTTGTGCCTCTTTTTTTTTCCCCGGATGTCATTCGCTATTGTGCCATTCACTTTAATTTGTAAAAAAAAAACACTTTGGTCATCTCCCTTTGTTTTTAAATGTGCTATGGCCTATACAGTATAAATGAACTTGATTGATGATTGATGAAACTTGACATCATCATCCAATTGCTGCCAATTCTTGAGAAGTAGTGTGTAACATTGTTGTGTTTTTGTTACCTTAGAGTTAGATGTTTATATCTACAGATGCCGCAGGTTGCCTTCCATGGAATCTGCCAGGTTGGGCTGTTATGTTTTTACCGCAGCTCAGAATGGACAAACCAAACACAGGTGCAGATAAGGATACCTTTTCCAAGTTATCGCAACCACCATAGTTTCTTCAACACATGCCCATTCTCATGCTTTACCTAAATGCTTGCAAATGACACAAATTCAGTGGTGGAAGAAGTATTCAGACGCTTTACTTAAGCGGCGATACAACCATGTAAAATGTAAAAAGTATTGAAAATCCTACTTATGTAAAAGTACAGTAGTATTATCAGCAAAAGTTACACGAAGTATCAAAAGTAAAAAAGACTTTATCTGCAGAAAAATGGCCACTGTGACTGCCGTACTCTCAAGTATAATCTGAGCACAAGTACATTTCATTATGCTAGTTTGACTGGTGTTTCATCTTAAATAGCCAGAGCTGATTCCCATCTCATCTATTGCTGCTGTATGTTGGCAAGGCTTTAATCTAATAGCAGAAACTCATTTCAGATAGAAAGGGAAGAAACTGTCTATAGGGATTCTTTTTGAAGTGGCTTCTCAAACTGAGCTCAGTGGGTGGAGGGGAGTCTTACTCTATTTCCTCTGATTGTGGTTGGGGCACATCCTGTGTTTAAACAAATACAGGAAATGTTGTCTGGATTAACATGAATGTCCTTGGCACACATTCAGGCTACTTAAACACAAACAGGTGATACACAAGTATGCCAAAATGCACTCACAATACCAACCAGTATTAAATAGTTCCCTTCCTGCTCATAACTGTTTCAGTTCACTTTGCATGGCTGTCCATCCACCTGAAGGGCAAATCTCACTGAAGGAATAAAAGTACAAAACAATGGCATAAGTAATGTGTGGACCAACTGTATAACATTATTACTTTTTTGTGTATTGATTTGTAAATTTAAGGTATATTTTAACAAAAAATGTATTTTGATTGGATGAATAAATTGTAACTGGTGTTGTTTTGAACAATATATTCTTCTTTTTTGACTTTGTGTTGAGAATTACCCCCAGAATTCCTGGTAAGCAAGTCCTGTACCACTCCTTATAAAATAAATTCATACTTTATTTTAGAGTCTCAATTCACAAAAGCATATCATAAAAGTTTTTAGTTTAACTATGATCACAAAGGTAATAATACAATTAAGAATGAAACTAATACACTCTTGTTTGCAGCTAGCATGGCAAATGAGGCAATAAACTATTTATGACAAGGTTTATTAATACACCTGCTATAAATAATAATGTTTGGCTGACTCTGTAGCAGCAAGATGGCAAAGGTCACAGGTACATTCCCCACAAGCTATTGTGCATCCATCCACAGTGCCCATTTGTAATGTCAGAGTGCCTCTGAGACTCTGACCCATGCATGTTCATGTATTGTAAGGCACCACAATTAAGGGAGTCAGCTTAAATACCCAAAGCCCACTTGGGCCGGAGACATCTGGAGAAGCAGTCAAAACACTGCAGAGCCTGCCATTGTTTTCTGTTTCAAAGCGGAACAGGTCAGCGGGGGAGAAAAAAGGACCCATAACTGCAGCCAAACATGGTTTCCGTCTTTAGTTTGTGTCTCAAACAGGATACAGGAGCATGAATGTTAGTTTCAGACCCTCACCACTTGTTTTTGGCTACGAATGGACAACCACATATTGGTCGCATTTTACCCCAAAACTCCCAGGGACCTTCTGGATATCAACTGATTTGTTGACCTCTATGGCAATTATGATGTTGATTTTTCTGCTGCTGTTCATCCACAGCTTTGAGGGTTTGTCTGGAGCTGAGCATGAGACGATGTGCACCTCTAAAGCCTGCTTCACCCTGCATATGGACAACAGGAGATTTGTGGAGGCCGAGCAGAGATGTGTTCACAACGGAGGTCATCTGATGACAGTGAGAGACCAAGATGAAGAGAATGTGCTGCACTCACTTCTCTCACAGATCCATAGAAAACATCAGGACAAGGGGCTTAAATTTTGGATTGGATTAAAACTGAACAGCGGGGACTGTGTGAGACCCGACAAGACTCTTAAAGGGTTTAAGTGGGTATCTGGGGAAGAAAACACCCACTACTCCAACTGGAAAAAAGAACCTGCCACCACATGCACATTGGAGAGATGTGTGAGGATTCATTACACTTTATCGGGGGAGAAACAACTGACATGGATTGCAGGAAGTTGCAAAACCCCTATTTTTTATGCATGTAAGTTTTATTTTAAGGGAATGTGCAGGCCTTTGGCTCTGTTGGGACTTGGAGAAATAGTCTACACAGCACCCTTCTCAGAAAAACCTGAAAGAAGTGAAATGCAATCATTTCCGCTGGGAACAATTGCTGACATTTTATGTATTGACAAACAAGCTCACTATTCTTTATGCGTTTGGAGAGACAACACCTTTCACTGGACTGTTCCTGGTCCATTTTGCAAGACAGGAAACCAAAATTGCACAATAAGCAATGACAGATGTGAATATTTGTGCCGTCAGGATGCAGACGAGGTTCAATGCATTTGTAAAAAAGGTTACAGCTTGGATGAGGATGGAGTCACTTGCAGGATAAAATATGATATGACTGAAACAACAGCTGTGTCATTAGTTGACCCAACTACAGAGGAAGAAACACACAAAGAATTCACTGAGTCTTTAACCAGAACCACAGTCGAGGTCCAACACCAGTCCCCTCACACCGACGCACCCCGTTCTGACCTGGTGAATGTCACACATGGTGAAATGACTGAAACAACAGCTGCTTCATCATTTGACCCAAGGAAGGAGGAGATAACAAAAGAAAACCTCTCTGAGTCTTTAACCAGAACCACAGTCGAGGTCCAACACCAGTCCCCCCATACTGACGCACCTCTTCCTTACCTTGGGAACAGCACGCATGGTGATCAGCAGGGCAACAAATCCTTGGCAAAAAGTTTCCCCCAGACAGTTAATTCCAGAGTGCTAATCTGCGTCCTCGGTTCGGTCATTCCTCTGTTGATTTTGGTTGCAGTTACTCTGGCTATTGCTATTTTTAGATGCAGTCGCTCTAAAAAAGAAGCCAAGAAAAATACTACCACTGATGGCTACTGTTGGGTATCTTCTGGTTTGGACCCACGTTTAGAGAAACTGTACAAGTCCATCTCAACTGACGGCCCATGACCTGATAGTGATGGAGGAGACTGTCTACATGCATTATGTTTATTTATGTAATTTATGTTCTTGCAACCTCTGTAGGTTAGACTGTGTGTTGTTAAAACATATCAAATCAAAAATCTGAAACAGCTTTATTGTCCATCAGAAGGTGACTTACCTTTCATATGTAAACATGGTTGGTAAAATAAATATTAAAAAAGAAGAAAACCAAGAAGAAAATATAGGTGTGCAAAAGAGCAGTTATGAAGGGGATGTAAGGGACTCTATATAATAAGGGTGACTGGGTGTAGGAAACAGATAGTTTGGACTAGAAAAGTTTTGATTTGAGTTGAACAGTAAGAAGGTTGTACCAGGGTGTAATGATGAAAGTGAGCATTTTAATGTTAAGATCAGTCAGCTGATTTTGTAATCTGTCTTGTCATAACTGGCCATATTTTCTGCTAAATTACCAGCAGAGATAGTTTTAGTAGTAATATTCAGATCTTTACATAAACCTGCGATAACATATGTTTTTTTGGCCACAAGTTGAGAACTTACACATATTGTCACCTTTTAAAGGCCCAGTGTGTAACATTTAGAAATGGAATATAATATTCAAAGGGAGCAGGTGAACTGCCATGTCTCTATAGTAACAAAGAAAGAACAAACACCGGATTTAGATAGGGTATTTCGCAATTTTGTTTCTCCACACGCTTGGAACATGACGGTAATGCGAGGGCAACTCCACCGCTAGATGCCACAAAATCCTATACACTGGACCTTAAGTTGATATAGTGACCTTGTTAGCAAACAGTTGTGTATTTACACACAACATTTATGGTGCAACAATATCATTTATTTGGAGTCATGTTTCTGGCCATCTGATTAAGTCCAATATTCGCTCTGTTTTAGCTGTTTTTAGTCGCTACCAAATCCACCCCTTACCAACTGTGTCTGTCTGCTGTGTAATGGTGAGCAGCTAGTGTACAGTGGGCTTTTAGAGCTTTTCTTACTGAAAAGCAGGCTGAAAATGATACTTGTGTAAACTACAATGGTAAAGTTGTGGGCTGGACAGCTAAACAATGAGCTGAAAATCACTGTAAAACTCTGTAAAGCAGAGGGGAGCTGCACTTTCAGGTGGTAATCCTCTGTAGGTTCATCACTACGTGTGACCCCTTTCACATTGTTTTCACATTGTCATTTGATACATTGTTATTATAAAAATATCAATTATAGCTGCTTTAAGCACATGTAGTAGAAAAAGTACAATATGGACATTTTAAATTGTATTAAAACACTGTATTAAAATACAACACTTGGCAAAATCTACTTACTTTCCACCACTACTAAGACAAAACAATTATTTATTCTCAGGATTTGGCTCCTGTTTTTGCATTTTCAGGATAACATTGGAAAAAAACAGTAGTGCAACTTTATCTCATTTCCTTCCTGTCTTTAACTTTGGCATTGTCCAGATGGGTGTTGCTTCCTGAGTATGGAGCCACAGGCTCTAAATTCTCTAACTTTATCCAGCCAACATCAGAAGAAGATCTACCGCACAATGACTGTGTTTGTGCCAGTGAAAATCATGACAATGATTATTTTGATTTCATTTATTTTTTCATTGTCTGTTAAGACAGGGTTTTGCCTAAAGCAGACTGGCACCTGCAGGTCTTTTTGTACTGAGAGTTACTGTATAACTTTAAACCAAGACAGAGTGGATTTTAAAACAGCCAAGGAAACATGCCATGACAGGAATGGAGAGCTAGTGACATTTCAGCCGGAGACAGATGAGAGCTTCTTTGACTTTTGGAAGCTAGCATTACGTGGAAACTTCTGGATTGGACTTTATTTACCTGCTGGTGCCTGCAGCAACGTTTCAATTCCACTGAGAGGCTATCACTGGACCTCTGGAAGTAATCAGAGTTTTGTTCCATCCTTCAGCACCTGGAAGGACAGCGATCAAGTTTGCTCTCCACGCTGTGTGTCACTTTCAAACGATCAAAAGTGGACAGAGAGGCTGTGCTCGGACAAAACTGACGGGTTTCTGTGCAAATCAAAGCTCAAAGATCCATGCCAGGCAAAATCTGATCCAAATGTTTTCCAAAGCTCTGAAGGCTGTTCAACTGCTCCCTGTGAGCATACATGCACAGATGTAGAAGGAGGTTTTAAATGCTCTTGTTACCGTGGTTATATCTCAGACAGCAAAAACCCTGTGCTCTGCAAACTGTACTGTGCAGATCAGAAATGCCCTGCAATATGTGACAGAAACACTGGCGATAGCATGAAGTCATGCTTCTGTCCTGCTGGATTTATATTTAATGACAATATGTGTGAAGACATTGATGAATGTTCGAGCGATCAATGTGATCAAGAGTGTAAAAATACTTTTGGAGGTTTTGTGTGCTCCTGCAGAGAAGGATTTGTACTTGAAGATCAAGTCAAATGCATCAAAGTCTCAACTCCTATCGGCATAGGCCTTGTTAAACCAACCGCCAATAATGATACACTTAAGACTTCCTCTGCTCCTTTTAGTGGTTTTCTCTGGATATGGATTTTCGCTGCCATAGCCGTGGTAGTGTTTATACTTGTGATAAGGTTTTATGTTGTTAAGCGTCAGAAAGGCAGAGAACAAAACTCCAGTCAACAGTCTTCTGCTCCTGTGGATAACATTGAGTGTTAAATTCAGTCCAAAAATGGTCCCATTGGTCCCTTTGGCATTTACCGTTTGGGAGACTAGTGAAGACTACTTGTCAGATGGCTGCAGTAGGTAACTTCTCACAATAAACATGATAAAATACTGATATTATTAATAAATATATATACATTTGAAATGCACAGGGCTATTTATAGTAGTCATTGCATATAAATATAAGCAGTATTATTGCATCATTAACATATAAGACATATTTGAATGCAGGAGTCCCAGATGAAGCTGAGAGTTCATTTTGAAATACTACTTGATAGTTGATAAATCTTAACTGTTCTCATTTTATGAGCTTAAAATGTGTTTCATATGTAAATGCAAAGAGCAAAAAGTAAAACAAATCCTCACAGAAAGTGCCAGCTCTTTAAATTGTAACTTCCATGCATTACCTGAATAAATGTATTATGTTCTTTTCAACACTGACTTTTACTTCGTAAACATTAATGTTTGTGCATGTGCATTTAATTGTTTGTAAAACTATGAGTGAAGTGAATGATGATTACATTTTATGGTCCTTTATGTAATGTGTCATGAAATAAAATCTGAATTCATTGAGTCGTGACAATTCATTCTTGTCCTTAGAGCGCCACCTACTGTTCTTTTCAACACATTGCTGAAAAGGGGGAAAAAGCACAACAATCACACATATGGCTGCCACAAATCCTTTTCATTGCACGTCTGGGTTACCTTCAGAAGGAACATTTCTCAAGGTAATACATTTCCACAGGAAATAAACAGTAAAATAATTTACACCTATCTTCAAACCATTGTATAACCACCGTTATTACCGACACGTTTCCTGCTATGACAAATCATATTGTCTTGTGAAAAAGGTCTATTGCATCATTCTGTTAACCCTTACAAACTGTTCATATCCAATGCCTTCACAGTATGGTCCAGGACAAATTTGACCCGGTTCAAGAAAGTCCTCATAAAAAGTGTCTATACCATATTTTGAACTACAGACCTATTTAGAATATGTAAATAGCCTATCTTACATTAATAAATTCATTATTAATCCTTAATTTATGATTTAAGATAGCAGGGGAGTGTATTTTTAAGGTCCTAGACCTCTCGTTTTTGGAGAAAACTGCTATATCACACTATATCATGTCCTGTTTTTACCAAGACATGAAAACATGACAGCCATAATGATTTAAATATATTTTATTAATAGTGATGCATAAGAGGTGGCCAATCTTGTCGGGTCCTGGAGTCATTCCAATGATATTTTTCGCTGCCATCCTGCCTGAAACTTGACCAACAGATGGCATTGTTTTTTGACATAAACATCTCTCTTGTTGCCTGCTCCTCTCCCTCAGAGGCATCTTCATCAGATTGGCTATAATCAGAGTTTTCCTCTGTGTTATCTTCTTGCTCTGACACATCCTCCTCCAAATCACTCTCAGCTTCTTCATCGTGGAAGATCTGATCAAGGACCTCTTGAAGAGTGAGTCTTGCTGCCATGACCTCTGTACCTCTGCCACTGAAAGGGCAGCTCTGGTACCTTTAATAATCTTATTGACCCACCCCCCCTCCTCCAAACACACACATACACACACACACACACACACACACACACACACACACACACACACACACACACACACACATTGATTTGATTCTAATTTGTCTATTTCTAGATTATATTGTTACATTGCAGGTTCAGATGCAGCTGCAAGTCTCTCTGTCAAGGCACCCTCTGACCTCCGTATGACCTTTGTTTCTTATGTGCACTATATATGACCACTCCTATGCTGTTTTACTATTTCATATTTGTTTCTAAGTTCCCCCATGGCCCCCCAAGATCAGCAGGGGCCTGTCCCTGCGGGAACCTGGGCGAACAGTTATTGTGACAGTGTCCCCCCCCCCCCAACTCTGTCACCACTGTCCCATAAAAATACAAACATAGTATATACAGTTTTACAGTTTCAAGATTCCCTAGAACAACCATTTCCTTGATTTGACACACTATAGTGGGTCTAAAATCCATCTCACTAGAACAGCAGCAATGTACAAAAAAAAATTGTAGCACCTGTGCAAAAGTATACAATTTTAAAATATTTTCATTGTTGTGTATTTTGGGTCACTTTAGGAAAAGGCATCAAATTTCAGGTTAAAAGAATGACATGTAGGTTATTTTTACTGCTGTCAAATGTCAAAATGTGTCAATTTTGACCCGAACAGTATGTAAGGGTTAAAGGTTGTCATCTGGTTTTAATTTATGCTTCAAAATGTTTTGATTTCCTTATTTGGTGGTTTTCTGTACAAATTTCACCAGATGACTGATGCAAAATATATTTTTAAATGTTCACATTGTCTTCTATTGGAGTCTCAAAAAGTGCAATCAGTTCAAAAGTTATGTCCTACTATGGTAAATTGCAGAATAAAGGGGGTCCATTATACTACTTCCAGTAGGGATATGATGCTGCAGTCAGGTCTCTGCTGACCAGTGGCACCAGTCCCAGGGTCAGTTTCAGCTTCCGTTTTACTGAGAATAGCATGTTGAAAGTAACAGCTTTGTACTGTCTTTTACCAGTATCCGCTGTAAAAGTACCAGCTTCCTGTTAACCCTGAACCATCAGTTTTATAAAAATGTAGTGTTCGTGCTATAAATCATATGACAGCCTTGCAGCAATTGGACAAATGCCTGTTTATAGGACCACGTTGACTATGACATATTTATTTTACAGATTCAATGCGGTTCAAATCTGTTCTCACTAGTTTTGCATTCTGGGATTTCTTAGGAGGAAATGAAAGAACTGCTGAAAACAGCCCAAACCAGGGGAGGATGATGCTAAACACCTCTATCATTTTGCTTTCTGTTTGTCTGTGTTTCTCTATCTCTTCCTGTGGACTGTCCATGGTGAGCTGCTTATTGTGCGGTTTTATAGAGCTGCATGTGCGATAAAGTATTTATTTTCATGTTTACGTTTTTCTGGACTTTTTTACTGCATAAAACATTGAGTAGATCCCTCACTCCTTCTCTTCATCTGATGCTCCCCGAGATCACTGAGATGAGGACAGACCTGGCCCGGTCCTCACAAGTCACAAGTCTGCCAGCGGAAGGGAGTTTTCAAATAAAGTGACTGGGTATCACAGCATTATTGTTGCAGTTTCCTACAGCTGCCACTAGATGTTACTATTGAGACATATTTTACTGATAGCACCTAACACCAGTGACAAATGACTACATATTCAAAATGACCTACAGCAGAAGTGCCACTCCCTAGTTCCAGAAACAAAGAGTACTGAACATCTGCCTTAACATAGGACCTTGTGGCAACTGGGAACTAACAGGGGTTAACTTGGTTTTACACAATAAATGGTAGACCAAATCAACTCCGAGATTACCCAGAAAATCCCATTTTAAACCCCCAGTAATCTATCCGATCAGGAGCTGAATCTTTGACCTGAGTCCTGCCTTTATCTCATTTGTTGCTTTATATAAGTCTGTTTCTTCTTCTCTACCAGAAAAGAAACACACCAAATAAGACTTCCCGTAAAAAAGGAATTCCACTGTGTAATCAGTGAGAAAACACCAAAGCAGTAAATGAACAAACACTTCAGGAAAAATGTGAGCGAAAATCAATGGTCAAATCTCATAATGTTCTTGAGAATGTGGAACAAAACAGACCAATTAATCTTCCATAAATAATATGATTACAGATAAAGGCTTGTTCCAAATCATTGTGAATAAGGTCCCATTGGACGTGTTATGGCAATGACACATTATTGTTGTATTTGCTCTGCACTCTTGCACAATGACTTTGTAACTGAACAGTGACTGTAATGACTCAGCTTTAATTTAAGGATTTGTTCAGGCTCAGGGTCAGAAGCTCAACCATGGTGGAAAAAAACAGATAAATGATGAAGGAATTGCAGTTGTCAGTCCTACAGGTTTTCAAGGACCAAAATAGATTGATCAGTGAAATGAAATGCAAATAAAATTATCATATCTTGATTTCCTGTCAGGCCTGTGTTTTATTTTCTGCCTGTTTTGAGCCTTTTTTGCCTTCTGTCTGGTCTTCAGCAAATAAAATCCACACTCAACTGGATCCATATCAGGTGATTAAGAGTAACAGAATATCTTCCCTGCAACAATGTTATTTCATATTTTAATAATTCCTCCTCCTCACCTACAAAGCTCTTCATGGTCAGGCCCCTTCATATCTTAAAGAGCTCATAGTACCCTATTACCCCACTAGAACACTACGTTCTCTGAATGCTGGGCTACTTGTGGTTCCTATAGTCTCTAAAAGTAGAACAGGAGCCAGAGCCTTCAGTTACCAAGCTCCTCTCTTGTGGAACCAGCTTCCAGTTGTGGTTCGGGAGGCAGACACCCTCACCACATTCAAGAGTAGGCTTAAGACATTCCTCTTTGATAAAGCTTATAGTTAGGGCTGGATCAGGTGAGTCCTGAACCATCCCTTAGTTTTGCTGCTATAGGCCTAGACTATCGGGGGATTTCCCATGGTGCACTGAGCTCCTCCCTTCCTCTCTCTTTATGCACTCATTCATGTTCCATTAATGCATGTTACTAACTTCACTTCTTCCCCGGAGTTCTTGTGCTTTCTCGTCTCGCAGGTTCTTATCGATCCTGGTGGAGCCTCCTGCCATGGTCCTGCTAGATTGCCATTACCAATACTGTTGTTGCTGTGCACCTGTCTGTCTGTCTGTCTGTCTGTCTGTCTGTCTGTCTCTCTCTCTCTCTCTCTCTCTCTCTCTCTCACCCCAACTGGTCGAGACAGACGACCACCCACCTAAAGCCGAAGGATCTGTCCTAGGTTTCTGCCTTTTAATAGGCGGTTTTTCCTTGCCCTTGTTGCCAAGTGCTTGCTCATGGTGGTACTGTTGGGTCTCTGTAAATGTTATAAAGAGTTCTGTCTAGACCTGCTCTACTTGAAAAGTGTCCTGAGATAACTTCTGTTATGAATTGGCGCTATACAAATAAAACTGAACTGAATTGAATTGAATTGAATTGAATTAAATTAATTTACGTTTGCCAAGCCCTCAAAATACACAAAGTTCAACTGTGTACATATGTATTTTATAAGTCTCTATATCTGTGCACACACACATACCCACACATTAATAAAAATGTGCTCCCAGTTAAACCTGTAATTAAAAACAGAAGAGCTCAGCTGGACCAATCAGCCTGCATCAGCCCTGAGCAGATAGTTAATGTCTCCACAGCTTTGGTGGAACTGGAATTGTAGGCTGCTGTGTGGCCTTATTGTGCCTCTGTTCATGCACTATGGCAATAACTGTAGGCCTCTCTCTCTCTGTGTGTGTGTGTGTGTGTGTGTGTGTGTGTGTGAGACTATGAGAGAGCATGTTGTAAACTGGGAGCGTAGTGTTGATAAGACTGGGTGGTACAAATCCAACCTGGATTTCACCGGTTGCGGCTGACACAACCTCACCTCCGCCAGTAAATATATGGTCTTTTGTGAACTCAATCAGCCAATGACAACAGGAGGAGTTCACTTTTTGGGAGGGAACAAAAAGAGAGAAAAGGAGATTTGATTGCCTGGTATGAGCGCCAGCCAACCTCT